AAAAAAGTCATTGCATTGAATCTTAATTGTTCCACAACAATAAAAGATGAAACAGTAAAACCAGTAAAAAATGTAGAAACCTGGGAACTCCTCATTCCAATCAGTAGACCGCTCTGCATAACTCTCGCCATTTCGTGGTCGATACGAAGACAAGTCATTAGACCGATACCTATAAACCGGCTGTCCCTTTCTCAAATTGTAAGAGTTAGATCCAGCAGGTTTATTATCATCCATAGTGGCAAGTGTGGCCCCAGATGAATGTTCAGGACCCACACGGTCAACGGGAGACGCCTCAGCACACTTTTTTGTGTTTTTAGTATTTGGGGGCCTACCCCTACGAACAACCTTAGGCTCGCCATCCTCACCCTGATGCCTCAAATTTTCGAAGTCTCTTTTTGCCAGTTCTTGAATAGACCGTGCCTGAAATAGTCAATTTTTTAAATGAAGTTACAGATAAACAAAGAAATTGGGCATCCAACAAATTAGATTTACCTGCCGGAAGTAAATAGTGTCTGGTGCATTATACTGCATCGCATTTGAACATATCAAGAGCACATCAGCCTGCATTAAATAATGTACTGCCGAATGAAGATTAATGTATGATGGAATGAGGGAGATCTATGCATAGAGGTGAAGCCAAGAGAGATTAGATGATATGGGATTCAACTAGCTAAAGAGCAATTTTTTCTTCACCATTTCTTTTAAAAGAGAAAGCTTTAAGGCATGAAGCATGCTAATTGGCCCACACCAGCTATTGGAATGGATACCATATTAAATTCAGTCTACATCATTCAAAAAGGATCCTAAAGAACTGATAATCACCTCACGGTTATATACTTGATTAAAACCAAATTAACAAGTGATGTAGGATAACAAACTTAAATTTTGAGTTATCATTTATAAATCCCCATTCCATAGTTTTGATACGCTAAAAACCTCTACATATCAAAAGATTATCAAAAAAATACCTCAAGATCTCAAATAAGTGTCCATCAAGAAAATACATTTTGTTCATAATAAGTGCTCATTTAGCAACCCAATATGAGAAAAAATTAGGATGTCTGAGTTGATCTCCCGTATTTATGTTTAACACTCGATTTGGCCCATCGAATAAACACTCTTACATAATTTGGTCCTTTTGGACTTGGTTTGATCCTTGACTATGCAATTTAGACTCAATTTAGTATGTTAAGGACTAATTTGGCTCGAAATTACATAGTTGAGGGCCAAATTAAGAAATAGTGTCTATATATGTATAAGGACTAAAATGGGTCCAAGTTTCATAGGCACGGAGCAAATTAAGTCCAGTAAAAAAGTTTTTGGGCAGATTGAGTAATAATAGTAGAACGGTCCAATTGGGTTTTAACTCCCCGTGTTTATGTTTTACACTTTTACTTTTGATTGTTGCTTTTAACACCTAGAAATTAATATGGGTACGATTAAACTTAAAAAGTGTAGTATTTCCTCAACAGAGTTATCCAAGAAGGGGAAAATAGAACTCATTTATCGAGAAGAAATGCCATGATATTGCAGAGGGCAAATCAAGCCCCCAGCTCATTCATTCTCTTGCTCTTATAAATGAAAATACACATGTGCCCAACAGCATACAATTCCAGCAACATTACCATGATGCTCTTGCTATGCAAACAACAGCCATTCTAGGATAAGATGCTAACATACTGAAAATGACAACTGGAGGATTCCCCAAAAATATGGGACTTCAATTTATGGTTTAGAAATATGTGAATGCGTATGACACTACATCTATACTCCCATGGACGAATGAAATAACACAAAAGTCATAATCAACCACATGCAAATTAACATAAAGTCATAAACCGTAAAACATGATCAAAGTTATGCATGTACTATCTGCCAAACACGATCATATAAATCAATACAGAAACACTCCTCAAGTCCTCACTAACCTCTAATTCCTCGAGGGTCGAATAAAGTCGCCCATCAAGCTTCTTTCTAACAGTCCCAAAATCCATGGGGTGCTCTATAATCTCATGATAATCAGGTAGCTGGACAGAAACCATTTCAACAATTGGGCTTAGCAAAACAAGAAACCAAATAAAAAGAAGAGTTTATTTAGCAGAAACGAACCTCGTTTGGATCCACAGGTTCAGAGAACACACCGTAAGTGTCCTTCCTGCATTAGTTATTAGAAAAAGGGGAACAAGCATAAGCAAACAGTGTGGTGGGATTCAAGGAATATACAGGTCACAGGGAGCTAAAGAAAAAAATGCACACTTTTGAAGTCTGTCAAGAATGAACACCAACAACTTTTTGTCTGGCAAAGGTTTTGTGGGGCCGGAGGCCAATGGTGATCCTGTCCACAAAATTAATGATCGCAATTACATTTAACAGAAAAAAAAGTATTTTTTTTATCAATAATAAAAAAAGATTCAACGAGTATAGATACAGCTATGTAAAATAGATGTATATAAAACCCATATTTCCAGCTAGTAAAAGATTAGATTATAACCATGTTGAGAGTCCATCGCTTTCAAAGTCTTTTCTGCCTGCAAAAAATGAACACAAATTTCCAGCAGCTTGAGCAATTATCGCCACAAACTTAAATACACTCAGTCCAATGTAGGAAAACAAAACACAAAAAGAGCAGCAACTAAATACAGGCTAAAGAATAATCAAAGAAAAGAAAAAATCTGGGAGTCCTCGAAACCAGATATTTATAAGGAGTTTTTATTAAAAAGACATTTATTTATGCACAAATTACTTTAGGCACAGGTACAATTTTCCAAAGTGGAATCCCATAAACTAGAAACTACCAGAATACATTTTTATAATTAATAAATACTCCGTATGAGAACCGTTTAGACCAAAAAAATACGGAGTAATTCTTTTTAAACGTTTGCATTTTTTTGAAAGCCATAGACGGAAATTGAAAATAAAAAGTGTATTTATATATAAAACATAAATTTGTGTCAGAGTCAAAACACATGCCCTTGCAAAATCAGATCGTGAAAGTCAAAGGGTTGCGCGCCAAAATTCAAGAAAAATGGGGATCACTTTGGGGTAGAGAAAAATCTGAGAATTTATTTCTAGAAGGAAAAAAAAGAGGAACTAAAAAAATAAGATCATCAATTTTTCTGAAAATAGAAATACATTGATTAATTTCCCAGATTTGAAGTTCAAGAGGAATTGTGGAATCAATTCTCCCCCATCGCAAAATAAAACAAAAAAAAATCAGTAAACCATCAAATCAGGGACCTGATCAGGGACAGCAAGTACAGATCTGCAGTCCCCGGCTTCGACCTTGAGATTCTTAGCGGGCTCCTCTCGGGTCGCGTCGTCCGGGTCGGGGTCCGAACCGGAATCCGAATTCAGGGGCGAATTCTCGAAATGCTGTGGCTGGTTGCTGGAGTGGGGCAAGCGGCCGACGAGCTTCACTTTCTTCTCCTTCCTTTCGTCCTCGTCCTCATCGGAGTCCGGCGGGGGAGATGAGGAACGCAAATTAGGGTTCCGGCGGGCCGATCGGCGGGTGGAAACGGGCTTCGGATCGTGCCTGTTCCGGAGATCCGAGAGAGAGGGCCGCCCTTTCTTCTTTTTCCTCTTCATTTTGTCTGCTCCGGCGGCGTCTACTGTTGCTGCGGCGGCTGCAGCTTCTGTGGTGGCTTTGCCCATTTTTCCTTCTTTCTTCTTCGGTTTAGACCCAAATTTTCTCTCTCTTCTGTCAAAAAATCTCTCCCCGCTCTCTCTCTCTCCACTTTAGCAGCTTTGCTTTCTTTTCTTTTCTTTTTTCCTTTTTTTTCCTTCTCTTTAAATATTTTTCAATTTAATTTGTTGGGCAGGGGAAAAAAGCGGAGAAAATACTTTTTTGTTTTTTATTGTTACCCACAAAAAAACTCATGCTTCAACCAAGAAGAGTCCCCCCGGCTTCTTAAAAAAAACATTTTAGAAATTATCAAAATATGAAGAATATGTAGTTAACTTTCCAAATTTGTAAATGAAAATAATTTATTTTAGACTAGATATTCTCCCAAAAATGAGGAAAGTAAAAAGATATTTTAATACTCGGTACAATTGAACAAAGAAAAAATGGTTTTTTTGTAATGCAGTGTATGCATGTTTTACTTCTACAGAGTTCTAATTTACGTTTCGAGTGCCAATTATGCTGAGATCGATCGGTGATATTATGCTGTCGGACAACCGACCGTCGTGAATCGAAACCGGTGATGTGTTTGGTCGAAAAAAGGGTCTAGATTTTCGAGAACATTAACTCTGATACCATGAAACAATTTGATAATATGCAATGTGTCTTATCGAATAATTAAGGATACATTTTTATTTAGAGATTACAAGAGAAAATTCAAATCTAAGTAGAAACAAAATTATAGTAACATTAAAATAAAAAATAATATAATAAAGAATGCAATAAATAATAGTAATAATATATTTCATAATACATCTATTATTTCTAATAATGAAAAATTCTTTAATGCCTCAATAACCTGCATCAACTTCATGAGTATGGGTCCGTTTGGTATATGACGGAATTGGAATTGAATCGGAATTGAGTAATCATGAGATTCAATTTCATAGAATTGAATTCTACCAATTCCAATTCATTTTTTGCACTATCAATTCCAAATTCACATAATTTTTGTGCTACCAAACACCAGAATTGGAATTGAAGCCCTCAATTCCAATTCCATAGTTTGAATTCCATGTACCAAACGGGGCCTATGGATTTTTTTAAAATATCTAAAAGTAAGTTTGAGATTGAGGGTTTGATACAAAAGACAATAGGTGTGTTAAAAAAAGTATCTTGATAGCTTTTGATTTCTTTGATTGCTTTTGGTTATTTTGAGTCTTGACTAATCAAACATCCAAAATTATTGATTAGCAAATAGCTCTTTCAATTGATCATTCAAACAAAAACCCTAAATCTGAAAAGTCTTAGAGCATTAAGATTTAAACTTGACTTTTAGGTAATGTCATTTTTTTATCATTTTCCTTTTAGATATTTCTATATAGATATTTATTACTCCGTTATAGATACTCATATTTACTTATAAGTAAAAAAATAAATTTAAAATAAAAAAATACAAATTAGGATATAAAAAATAAAAATTTAAAATTTTAAAACTACAAATTAAAAATTTAAAGTTAAAAACTAAAATTAAAATTTGGAAATAAAAATAAAAAAATTTCTCTTTAAGAATTTAAAATTAAAAATTAAAGATTGAAAAAGTAAAGTATAAAATAAATGAAATGTGAAAATAAAAAATCCAAAATAAAAATAAAATAAAAATCAAAAATAGAAAAATAGAAAAAGAAGAGACACTCCTTTATACGCTCTTATTTAACTGTTTTATTAAAGTTATCTCATTAAAATTGAGTAAATTCTATATTTGGTCATTTATAATAGAGGAATTTTCATATTTAGTCCTCTATTATCAAATATTACCTCTATAGTCATTCTTTTATGGTGCCTTTTCTCAAATGGTCCTTTTTTATCTTTTGTTATGTTAGTGTTAGTTTAAAAGCTAAAAGATCACACCTACTGGTTAGACGTATGATATAAAAATAATGACTATGATTGTAAGCTAAGATTCAAACAAAAGACCACACCTATAGACTATGTAATAGAATGCGACTGTAATCAGAAACGATGCATTAGGAATGGTCTTTGGAATTGTGTATGACAAGAAAAAATTATTATCATTATGAAATTACACTTTTAGCCTTCAAATTAATACGAACATAATAGAAGATAAAAAAGGACTATTTGTGGAAAGAAACTCATAAAAGAAGGACTATCAAAGTATTATTTGAAAATAAAGAACTAAATAGGAAAACTTCTCTACTATAAAGGACTAATTATAAAATTTACTTTTAAAATATTATGTATTATTAAATTCTATGATTTGTATAAAAGTGTAATTTAATATATTAAAATCTTAATTTCTACATGGACAAAAGTGAAAAATAAGTATTGCATTTATTTTGTTTCTCTCTCTCCACACACACACACAAACACACACACACACATATATATATGACTCTTTGTGTATGTGCCTATATATATATATATATTTAAAATATAAAAACAACTGTTTACAAACGTCTAATTTTATCAAACATTTTTAACAATAAACCAACACATCTAGTTAGTCAAATCGATCAACTAACATAAATAGTTGATAGCCAATTTCAAAACATGGTCAGTATCATTCTAATACAGAATTGGGGAGGTAGGCGTAAATCTAACATGTGATATCGGTTTGAAGTGAGCATATGAATGCCATGCTATGTTTGTGCGAGAAATTTTGGTGTTCACTGCAACTTTTGAAATTTTTGGTATTTAATAAGTATTAATGTGGCTATCTTTAGTCATAACCATCTATGACGATCACCAACGCTTTTGACCATTAATTAATGGATATGTTATCTTTGAAGTGAGATGAATTTGATACATTATATGCCAACAATAATTGGAAGGTGAATGTAAAATTGATTCACAATGTTTACCTGTGTGTTAGATAGGCTAAAAGAGTATGTTTGGTGCATGTGCATATGCATACTCTATTTTTTAATCCAATCTTGGGTAAATTTCACCAATGGTATACGAACTTTCATAATTATTTTACTTCGGTATATAAACTTTAATTTCTATCACAAAAGTACACGAACTTTCAACATTCTTTCACCGGTGGTTCAATAGGCGGTTTTTAAGTCACCTTCAGGCTTCAGGTCATTTAGAGTCAAATTATAATTTTATAAATTTAAATTTTATGATTATGACCCCTTTTCTTTTTGTAAAATTTGCGCTAAATAGGACTAAAACATAATGACTTTCCCAATGTATAGCTTAAACTTTTTTATTCCCTAAATAAGACTTAATAATGACCTAGTGGGAGGAATAATGTCCAGTAATGATGGACATTTACTTGAATAATGACTACTTGATAATGACCAAAAGTCCTACATTGGGAAATAAAAACATATGGTCCTATATTGGGAAAGTCATTATGTTTTAATCCTATTTAGGTAAATTTCTCTTTCTTTTTTCTCTTGGTTCTCCACCCTTTTCTTCATCATCTTCTTCAAGACTCCCCACTATCCCCCTTCATTTTTTTCTTCTCTTCATCTTCCATCCCCAGCCCCACCCCACCCCACCCACACCATTTTTTCTCTTCTTCCCCTCTTCTTCTAGCCCCCCCCCCCCCCTTTTTTCTTTCTTCTTTTCCTCTTCTTCTATCATGAGAAGAAGAAAAGAAGAAAGAAAAAAACGGGGGTGGCGGGGGGCTAGAAGAAGAGGGGAAGAAGAGAAAAAATGGTATGGGTGGGGTGGGGCTGGGGTTGGGGTTGGGGATGGGGCTGGAAGAGGAAGAGAAGAAAAAAATGGAGGGTGATGGTGGGGGGTCTTGAAGAAGATGAAGAAAATGGTAGAGAACCAAGAGAGAGAAAAAAGAAAAGAGGTCAAAATCATAAAATTTAAATTTATAAAATTATAATATGACCCCAAATGACCTGAAGCCTGAAGGTGACTTAGAATTAGTTAGAAACCACCTATTGGACCGCCGGTGAAAGAATGTTGAAAGTTCATGTACTTTTGTGATATGAATTAAAATTTATATACCGGAGTAAAATAATGATTAAAGTTTGTATATCATTGGTGGAATTTACTCATCCAATCTTTTATAATACTCCGTATTATGTAATACTCCGTATTTATTATTGACCTACTTTATTATTACAGAGTTGACCGGTTAGTAATGCTTAACTAAATGAGACAAAATTTAAACGAAGTATTAAAATAATGAATGAGTTAAGACGATTAATATGCATTCACTAGTCATTGATCGATCATAACAATTAGCAGGCATTACTGCATTAGTGTTGAGGTTACAAACTTACAATTTAGACAAAAGAGTTTGAAAGTTACTCGATTGCCATCATTAAGTTAACATTGAATATCAAGGCTTTGCACTAGCATAAAATGCTACTTGCATGATCATAGTACTTTTATTTTTATATGATTGTGCTGCTTGCATATTCTATTCGTACATCATTTTGTATATCAAGGCTTTGCACTAACATAAAATGTTAGTGCCATATCGACATTATGCTACTGTTGCACTTATATTTAGTGCAAAAATTAATGTGCAAATATGGTGTACGTACAAATAACATTATTGATTTTTATAATATAAGGACAAGATTGTTATTCATCTATAGTGTTTTCTTTCTTTTTTTCCTTGTTTCCTTTCTAAATCTGACCTTGCGGTGTCTTGAGGTTGGGGCAAAATGTGATGGGACCGACTAGTATAAAAAATGTATTTTCTAATGTTTGTTTGGATGACATTGCTTAGCTGGTTGAAATGTGAGTTCTAAAAGGGGTAAACATGGGTTAAACTCATAACAATGATGATAAAAAATGATCATACTCTGCATGAAGTTTTTGCACGTACTAGGGACATACTCTATGTTTTATTAATTACACTAAAGTTATAATTCCATTAATAATTTTATTTATATGTTTCTAGTTTCTAACCTACTATGTTGGCTAGTATTAGTAGTATGGGTTTAACATTTTTTCTTCATCCAAACAGATTTAAGAAATTTAATAATTCATTTCATTTTTCTTCATTTACCTTCTAACCTGGTTTTGCTCCTCAACCCAACAAAGTCTAATTGAAACCAAACTCAAACAAACATAATTTGATATGATTCATACTCAAACACGTCCAATTCAAATTCAGTCCAACTTAACAAAAAACCCAACACATTATGTCTATTTAGCAACAATTTGAATGTTTAGCTTCTATATTTTTAAAGTTATCTTATATTCCCTTCATTCTTAAAAACCTTTCTTATTTTTTACCATAAATCAAACATAATCTAATAAAACAAAAGATATAAAATTTATCAAAACTATAATCTAAGATGAACCTAATTATATTCAATTTATATTAGTATTAAATACTATCTATGTCCCATTTATTTGTCCAGTTTGATTTTTTGAGTCAAACTAGATGAACTTTAGATCTCAATTAAATAAAAATGGCAATAATTTTTAGTATTAAAATTATTTCAATAGATTTATCTCGTTAAGAACTATTAAAATTTTAATTTATTGTATTGATATACAATACAAATTAAGAATAATTGATGATTAAAGTTCGTCCACAATATAAAGATTTTTAGGAGTATAATTTTAATATTTTAAAAATAAATTTATGATATTAAATTATAATTTAAAATGATAGTGTTAATAGAAAATACTATTCAGCCCACCCATCTTTTCGTTCCAGCAGTCCCTGGCTTACCTTTCGCTCATCAAGGATGACCAATGGAGTGGCTGTAAGGTTTTTTCGGTCAACTCTTCACGAAGTCTTTTGCTCCGTACTCTGTATGATTTTTCTCGACATTACTCCTTCAATGATGATTAAATCATCAATTAATCCTGAATTATTAATGTCTGAACTATAAATAAGCTTATTAAAGTTGAGATTTTTGATTTTTCTTCACTGATCAAAGAACTCCCACGTTCGGATCTTCTCCTCCAGCCTCTTCCTTTCTTCTGGCTTTTCTTTTCTTTTCTTTCAATTTTGTATTTTTTTTCCCTTCCCGTTTTGCCCTCTTTGTGTGGACCAGCAAAAACCCTAGTTCAGGGGTATCTAGGATCAAAGAAAGCTGCCCAGCTCCAAAAAGCAGGATCTTGATGCAACTTTTCAATTTCCCAAATAGACCCTGAGTGTTTCAAGAACTGCCCACCGCCGGTAATTGATCTCTCCCCCCTCCCAATGACTTTCTTGCTTTAGTTTCTTGTTTTCTTTGTTTGTTTGTAATTGCAGCTGTGTTGGATTTACTGAATTATTGCTGTTGTCTGGTTCAAAATGGTCATTTCTTGGAGTCCATGTCTTCTTAAAATAGGATGTGTTGTAGATTTCATAGTTTAGTTTCTGTAGTTAGCATCAACTGATGAAAACGACTTTTTTTTGTTTCCTCACAAATGTTAAAACTGCCAGTTTACTAGGTTCTTAAACCTAACCACCAACAAACCCGGTAAAATCCCACAAAAAGTCGGACCTGTGGAGGGTATGTGGATGCTAAAAACATGTTTTGTCTGGAAAGAATTAGGATAGGGTGGGGAAAATGCTCATAAATTGTTCAGGAGTGTGAATGATGACATTTTATTCGATTGTTCATATCAATGTGTATATTCATTTAAGAACATTTGTTCGCTATAACGTTTAATTTTGATCCCTTGCGTAAATGTTTTGCTTCTTTTTGATGAGTATATGTTTAGATGGCAGAAGGGTGGGAGGAGAATCTTGATCTCGAGAGACTACATATAGAGCCGATATATGATTCCTTCAGATGCCCTCTGACGAAGAAAGTGATGCGTGATCCGGTCAGCCTTGAAAATGGCCAAACCTTTGAGAGAGAAGCGATCGAGAAATGGTTCAAAGAATGCAAACTCAAAGGGAGAAATCTTGTCTGCCCCATAACACAAAGAGAGTTAAGAAGCACAGAGCTCAATCCGAGCATAGCTTTGAAGAACACGATCGAAGAATGGAATGCAAGGAATGAAGCCACTCAGCTTGACTCTGCCCGAAGGTCACTGTCTCAAGGAACGGTGGAGGGCGAAATTCTCAAAGCATTGCGGTTTCTCATAATCTACTGCAAGAAAAGTCAGTCCAATAGAATTGTGATTCGCAACGCAGAGCTCATACCAATGGTTATTGACATGTTAAGGAACAGCAGCCGTTTGGTTCGGTGCAAGGCTTTGGAAACCCTTCGTGTTGTGGTAGAGGATGATGCAGATAGTAAGGTTGTCAAACTCAAATTCTCTCCTTTTGTTTTTTAATCCTCTTCAAGTCCCGCGAATTTGGCATTTTAAGGCCCTTCGTCAATTCTTTCCTTTGATATTTTCAATGACCATTCGATAAAATAAAATGATATGGTTGGAGATGCTCTTACTCCTACCAATAAAAGGCAGAGAACATGCTGTTTTTTTTTAAATTTTAATTAAATTTATCGTTTTAGTTTTCAGGAAATATTGGCAGAGGGTGACACGGTTCGCACGATAGTGAAGTTCCTTTCACATGGCGAGTCAAAGGACAGAGAGGAAGCCGTTTCCTTGCTGTTTGAGCTCTCCAAGTCTGAGATTTTGTGTGAAAAGATTGGTTTGGTCGACGGAGCAGTTCTCATCCTAATGGGATTGGCAAGCAGCAGATCAGAAAATCTTTTGACAGTCGAAAAAGCTGAGAAAACACTGGAGAATCTGGGCAAGTGCGAACGGAATGTAAGGCAATTGGCAAAGAATGGTAGACTACAGCCTCTCTTGAATCTACTGCTCAAAGGTGATTTAGCTAATTCCCATAATGCCCCCCCTGCCCCCTCAATACACACATCCAATCTTCTATCTGCTTAAAGGGTAGATTTGTCTTGTCATCCCAACCTATAAAAAAGAAATTTTTATTGTGATTTTCAATCTCTCAGGATCAGCAGAGACCAAGATTTCAATGACTGCATTTCTTGGGGAGCTAGTCATAGACAATGAGGTGAAAATCTTAGTAGCCAACACTGTGGGTTCTTCACTCATTGACATCATGAAACATGGTACCCTACAAGGTAGGGAGGCTGGTCTGAAAGCTCTGAACCAAATATCCTCGTACGAGGTTAGTGCCGAGATTCTGATAAGGGCAGGTATCCTCCCGCCCCTCGTCCAAGATCTCTTCAGCATCGGCGCCAATGCCCTTCCCATGAGGTTGAAGGAGATCTCCGCCACGATTTTGGCAAACATCGTGAGCTCCGGTTACGACTTCCATTCTGTCCCGGTGGGCCCCGCCAGGCATCGGACCCTGGTGTCGGAAGACGTGATTCATAACTTCCTCCAGCTGATCAGCAACACGGGACCCACGATCGAGTGCAAGCTCCTTCAGGTCCTTGTGGGGCTCACCAGCTCCCCCACCACCGTGTCCAGCGTTGTTTCCACTGTCAAAAACTCCGGAGCCATTCTCAGTTTGGTTCAGTTCATTGAGTCCCACCAGAAGGATCTTAGGCTTGCTTCCATAAAACTTCTCCAGAATCTTTCCCCACACATGGGTCAGGAACTTGCCAGTTGTTTACGGGGCTCGTCTTCTCAGCTAGGGACCCTAGTCAGGGTTATATCAGAGAGTTTAGGGGTAATATCGGAAGAGCAGGCAGCAGCCGTAGGGTTTTTAGCCGATCTCCCGGAAAGAGACAGTGGGATGACAAGGTTAATGTTCGAAGAGAAACTCTTCGAGGTCGTCTTCGATGGGATTGTCAGCATCAGACAGAACAAGACGAGAAGGTCCCGGTTTCTGACCCCGTGTCTTGAAGGGCTCGTGAAGATTCTCGCAAGATTCACTTTTGTGGTCCCCACGGACCCCGACGTCCTCGCCCTTTTCAGGGAACTTAACGTCGCCTCCCTCTTCGTCGAGCTTCTGCAGAGCAACTGGCTGGACAACGTCCAAATGGTGTCCGCCTCGGCTCTGGAGAATCTCTCGCAAGCCACAAAAAACTTGACGAGGCTGCCCGAGCTGCCCAAGCCCGGGTTTTTTGCCTCGATCTTCTTCCCTTGCGTGAGCACCAACCGCGGCTTGATGACCGGGCTGTGTGGGGTCCACCACGGGATGTGCTCGTTCAAAGAGGCGTTTTGCCTCGTGGAAGGGCGGGCCATACATAAGCTCGTCGCCCTGTTGGACCACACGAGCGTCGGGGTGGTGGAGGCGTCGCTCGCGGCTCTCTCGACGCTTTTGGACGACGAGGTCGACATCGAGAAGGGAGTGGAGGCGGTATGCGAGGCCGAAGGGTTCGGGCCGATAATAGCCGTGCTGATAGAGAAGCGCACGGAGAATCTGAGGCGGAGGGCAGTTTGGGCAGTCGAGAGGCTTGTGCGGATCGACGAGTTGGCGTCTCGGGTTTCGGGCGACCCGAATGCGACCACCGCTTTGGTGGAGGCTTTCCAGAACGACGACGTGATGACGCGCCAGATCGCCGAGCGGGCCCTGAGGCGAATCGACAGGATCCCAAACTTCTCCGGCGTCTTCCAGAGAAATGGACGTTAGCGCGGGCGCCCGAATTCGACCGTTTCGCCCGAATTTATCCGTTTCCACTTGCAGTTTTTTTTACTTCTTCCCTGTTCTGTAGATTGGATTTTGTGGTCTCTGTAATTTCTTCTGATTCAGTCTCATTTCTTACTCTGCAAAATTGTTGTTGTAATAGCTGTAGATGATTGGGTAAAAAAAGACCAAAAACCACATCAATTAATGTATTTTCATAAGCCTATCATTGGCAAGAAAAAGTACAATTCTCAATATTAGTTTTTTACAGATATTAGTGTGTGCCACATTGCATAGTCTTGAAAATCCATTTTCATATTACAAGTAGTAGTGATAATGATGATGATGATGATGTCTGCAAAAACACAAATATACATTCTTTTGACACATTATATAAACCAAAGTAGAAACATACTATTGGTTTTGTCCAGTTTTCATTCCTCCCCAAAATTATCTCAATCATTCCATTATTGGTTCATACTTTTTTTTCCTAAATAAATCTCAACAAAAAAAATTACTTTCTTGCAAGTCAAATGAACAGGTAAAAGAAGAATGTATACATATATTTCTACCACGAACTAAAATGTTAACCTCACCCAGGATAAAACTACTTCATTCATCTCAATTTAAATTGTATGTTCATTATTTACACGATTAAATTTTAACCATTTTTCTTTATTCATTAGATAGAATAATATAATCATGTCACATTTGTTTTGTAAAAAAAATTGATGCAACTTTTAATTGTATAAATTTTATTTTTTTTAATTATACTCCAATTTTTAATTAAATTGAATTGAAAAATATTTCAACCAAATATCATAAATATAAGAAAAGACAACTTTTTTTTTGAAAAGAGAACAAGAAAGAAAGACAACTTACTCACCCTCACCCCTACCCACCTCAACCCGAACTCACCCTCACCCCCATCAATTGCACCCTCCAAGTTTATTTGACTTTGAACCCGGAATAAGCGGGAGGGGGGGGGGGGCAATATGCCACAATATGTACAAGAGAAGTTGTAATTTTCAGAAGAAACAGTCAAACGGCCATTGAAAAATGTGTGAAACGAAAGAAAATATGTGAATTATTATTCCTTCCATATGGCAACATACAAATACAAGAGGATCATACATCACCAAAGAATGCAATTTTAAACCCAACCATGGCTCCATATGATGATGATTCACAAATGCAGAACTGCCATGGATTTTGTCACGCAAGAAGAGGCGTCGAGCTCGCGCGCGACGTGATAATTCCTCGAGACGTGTCTCCATTTCGTCTCGGTTTCCGAGACGCGACACACGGTCGAGAAGTCGAGAACCTGCCCGAAGATCTTGAACATCTCGACCCCGAATATGAGGTTCTTATCGGAGGCGAACACGGCGTTCCAATCCATGGGCGCGTCCGGATGAATGGAGACTTCTTTCCATGTAAGGTGCGTAAGGTCGAGCTCCCACAACTTCCGGACCGCCTTGTTTCTCCTCCCGATTTCGCCGACCCCCTCGCACCACGAGACCGATAGCACGAAAAGGCGCCCGTCGCACGAAATGAGCTTCGGGCAGTACTCGTGGACGCGGGACGGGAACCGGGCGGTCCGGATCCCGACCCACCGGCCTGTTTCTATGTCAAACGCGGCAAGCTTGTCCGATTCTGAGTATACATAGAACAGCCCTCTGCAGACAACACCTGAACAGACTGTCCCAAAATCAGCCGGCAACCTCTGGATCTCCGTCCATTTGTTCGAAGCAGAGTCGTAAATTTCTCCCGAATCTAATGGCTCATCCCAACATCCGAACCCGCCTACCGCTATCAGGACGAACCGTCTTTGATGACGACGATGATCTTTATCAACCCGTTCACTTTTTTGTCTCGTTAACTTGTACGGAATTGGCACGAAAGAAGCCTCGTTCTCCTCCTCGGGCTGCCCGTGGTCCCGCCTGACCGAAAGCCTGTGAGGGTCCTCGTAAACCTCGGAAACACCAGCAACCCTCGTCCGGTAGAACCATCTTTCCGACCGGTTTTGTTGGTTTTTAGAAACGAAAACATCGGAACCGACTTCGAAGACCCCAAGAACGGGCGAGGATCTTGCGTGTTTCAAGGAGGAAGTTTCCCGCCACGACTCGGTGACGGGGCTAAAGACCAACACACTTTTGTGGGTTTTGTAAGAGCTCTTGTCGAGCTTCCCGAAGTCGGCCAAACTCGAACAACCTCCGACTACATACACGTCGTCTCGGATGCCGGCAACGGAGAACAGAAACCTCCCCTTGAGTATCTCGGCGTCGAACTTGTGCCACTCGTTGAGAGAGACGTCCAGCGCGTGAATCTCGGAAGAGCAATACCCGTTCTTGACGAAACCAAAGAGGAACAACCACGGGCTTTGAAACGGGCCGTCCCGTCTCATGTTCCAGAACCGGGGCGTGCCGGTCAGGGCTTTCCATTTCTTGCAAACGACTCGGGCGTTCATGAGACTGACCAGCGGGAGTCTAACTAAGCACATTTCCAAGATGTCGTCGGGGATAAAGACGTTTTCCGGAATCCCGTTTTCACGTAACGCCGCCTTTCTGTTGTTGGTACTCCTCTTTCTTCTCAAGAGCTTGTGGCGCATTGCGTAAGAGAAACAGTCCATGGTGGGGCCCGGGATGTGCTTTCTTCTTTCGTTGCTTGCGCTCGAATGTCTTCTTCGTTGCGTATTATTCCCGAGATCTTCGTCGGTAACATCAGCACCCACTCTGCAGACTCCGCCCCTTCCGTAAAGGCTGATTAGACAACTTACAGAAATGCCCCTAGCATCATCGTCCTCTTCCTCTTCTTCCTCGTCTTCTTCTTCTTCATTTTTCTCTTTTGTTCGGGTTTTCTTCTTCAACTTCTGGCTAACGCATCTAACCAAACGTTTCGAGACACTCAATGATTCAAAATCATGTTCGAGAGATTCTTCTCCAGTCATCATCTTGGAGTCATCAAAGAGAGTTAACAATGCATAAAATTTCCTGCATTCAAGAAGATTGAAGGGATATAGGCTTTTTTTTTTTTACGAAAACCGAAATAAAGAGGATTGATTTTGCAATGCATTCTTAAGTTTTAAGGTTTGAAGGAACAGTGAAGATGAAAAATTATACAGACATTCATGATTTCACAAAAGATCAAATTACTTCCTAATCTAATGCTAACTGTCATGGTATAAAACCTTTCTTGAGCCTGCAACCACATTCATGAGTTAGTTCTTGACATGATTTCAGAATTCTGTTGATCCAAATGTGAGGTGTTCGAATCTCACTACCACTCAGTTTGTAAAAAAAATAATATTCCCGTACAAGGCTCAAGCAAAAACGATATCACACGTGCACACGAGGAGCATGTTATTATGGTATAAAACCAAACCGAGAAAAATGCATTCTTATAATGATTTTTCTTCCATTTTTGCCCGGACTTCTCCTTCTCATCCTCCTGCCCTCTCCCCTCCCTCCTCTCAAGTCTCAACCACATCTTCCTTCATTTTCTTTACAATAACCAAATAAAGTAGTTATTGAAACCGTAATTTCCTTACCAATTTCTCTACCGAGTACCGACCAAGCAAATTTAGATTTTCAATAGTTTTGTCTCTCTTTTCGTTTCCTTAACATTTATGTGAAATAATAGAATTGAGCCCAATTCAACCCCAAAAGTGAACTCAAAGAGTTGAGGCACCCAAGCCATTATAAACACCATAATATTGGTGTACACGGCCAATGTAGGAAGAGTATAACTCAACACCCCCCCCCCCCGCACACAAGGCGCAGACAATTGCGGGGGGAGGTTGAATTAGGCCCAAGTCTATTGTTTCACACTTCTCTTCCTTTTCCTAATTTCCGGTACCAAACATAGACAAAATTTTAACAATGGAGGATCCTCCAGCTGTGGAAACCAGCAAAAAATGGGAAAAAGTCTTAAACCAAGGTTGGATTTTTATGCAATGAGCAAAGCAAATACTCCGTATAACAAATCACACAAAATAAAGTGTCGGTTTCCTAATCCCAAACCCCATTTCACCCAAAACAAAACTCTCCAAATAACAGGTTGACAAAGACAAGAAATAAAAGAAAACTAAAGAAAGCCCAGAAATTGAGGGGGAAAAGGAAATCACAGGTTGACAAACGCAAGAAATAACACATACCCAGATTGCAATTTAAGAAATCTGTGGATTGGGAAGCTCCGATATGAAGAAAGAATCCATCCCAGAATCAAGAATCGCTTGGGGAGAAGAGAAGAGCAGAAACTGAGGATCTCATTTCCATGTCCATCTGAGGGGAGAATCGGTGGGTGGCAGTGAGAGCTTGGATTAAAGAAAGAAGAAAGAGATGAAAGAGGGAAAATCCGACCCAGAGATCCAAATGTTAAGCAGGAATGGATGCGGCACCACACCACACGGGTATCAGTGTGGTGGGGAGTAAGTTGAGACATCATTATCGGAATCTTGGTAAAGAATTTGGTTTTTTGGGGCAAAAAATAAAATATAAAAAAATTGGTATAAAAAAATTGAAATAATAAATTTTTTTGAGATATTTTTTTAATGTTATAGATTAATTTTGAGAATGTTAAAATTAAAGAATGTCATTGAATATAGAATACTATTTTTAAAATACTAAAACTAAATGCTGAAATTGTTATATGGACTGCAAGACTTATTTATTCGATTTAGTAATGATGTACTCCACCTTCCCAAATTAAATTACATATTTAATATTCACATGGTTAAACTTTATTCATTTTCTTTCTTTTTTTTGATAGTCATTTGATAAAAAAATAGTCATATCACAATTAATTTTGTAGATCTCTTAATTTAACATTTTAATATGTAATTTTTATTTTATACTACTTTTTATATAAAATAATTTGAAAATAATTTTAGTCGGAGATTGTAAACTGAAACATACAATATAAATCGGGACACAGAGAGTATAATAGTTATTCAAATCATTTCTTGTGCAGTGTGTTTTCCCCTTGGAAGTTGGGGGTGGAGTATAAAAGTATATAAACCTTTTAACTTAAGTAAATTAATTAAAGATTAATTGAATAAATTACTATCCTAAAATTATAAAAATACTTATTCAACTCTTAAGAATGTCTATGGACTATGATCCCTTAGATAGACTTTTAATTCACATAAAAATTTATAATTTTTTGTGCTAAAGAATGTCAAAATTTTTGTCAACTTTTTCAATCCGGGTTTAAATTGCACATTGAGCCATTGCATGGTGAAAAGTTATTATACTACCATATATGTTCATCTGTACAAAAAAAAAAAGAAAGAAAATTGTAACAAAAATGTTTCGATATAGATTAGATAGATACAAGAACGAAACACTAGTCCAACAATGAAAGTACAGTGGAACTTCCCCCTCTAAAAAAAGAAACGCCGCCGTCACGAGTCATCGCCTCCTAACGCAACGCCCTTCACGGCGGCGTTCGACCCTCCGGTCATCGGGACCCGCGGCTCGAAGAGGGGGGGCGGCGGGTCGGGCGAGAAACAAACCACGATCACCGTCAAGTTGTCGCACGTGTTCCGCTTGAGCGCCTCCCTAACGAGCCCCCTCGAGCACCTCTCGGGGTCGTTGTGGGCCCCGAGCTCCTTCCTCGCCACCGTCACCGCGCACTGGCTGCTCATCACGTCCCACAGGCCGTCACACCCCATGATTAGGAACTCGTCTTCCTCGGTCAACACGGTCTCGGTCAACTCGGGTTCGCCGCTCAAGGGGCCCGCGGACCCCTTCGGACCCTTCATGTGCCAGTCGCCCAAAGCACGCGCTACGGATAGTTGGCCGTTCAAGTAGCCGTTGTAAATAGCCCCGCCGAGCTTCTCGATCCTCCGCCTCTCGGATACGGCGTCCGGTTTATGGTCCTTCGATAGCTCGTACGCTTTCCCTCGTTTCCCCAAAACAGCCCGACAATCCCCCGCATTAGCAACTATCAATCTTCTGCAAGCCAGTGGAAATACCAAAAGGTTACAAGCATAATAATAGTAGTCATTCAATATTATGGCACAATTCAACAATAAACTCGGTAAAATCTCACGAAAATAAGGTCAGACTAAGGCCATGTTCCCCTCAACTTATTCTTATTACTTATTCTTATTGGAAAAACAACTTTAAATATAACTACAATCAGATCAGACCAGATCAAAACTTATTCCAATCAGACCAGGTGAAGAGAACATAGTCTAAGACAAAAAAACAAATACCACCATAAAGTACAAAATAGTGCCCAGAGGCCTACCCAGCTACCTTAAAATCCTACATCTCTAAATGTTCCTACCTAAGGTCCTATCCTAGGCTAGATTATAAAGTCATAAGTCCTATCCAATAACCTTCTGTTTAATTTCGGCACACTTCAAAAATCGCATTTCAAAATGGCAAAAATGTACAAACCGTTCACATAGGAGAGCGGTGAGTGCTGTCGTCCCAGACGATATATCGACAGAGCTATCATCAACAAAGGCATAGTCGGCTTTCAAAAAAGCGTTCTTAATTGCCTTTTCCAAACATAAGGGGAAAAAGGAGTCTTCCAATATAAACTTGAGAATATTATTCCTAACAAACATTGCTGCATCTGTTCCTCCATGTCCGTCAAAAACCTTCAAAAATAAACCAAATTTATCAGTAAACTACTGCATACTACATATATATATAGCTCTAGTGTAACAATGGAGGGTACTCTTTATAAATAAATATGGAACAAAACAAACTAGATCAGTAAAATGGGGTTGCAAATGTTACAGACTTACCGAAACGTAAACAAAAGCTCTACTGAAGTAATTAAGACACTGTAGAACATCTAAGGATCTATTTGGATGGAGGGGTTTGGAGAGGAAGGCCATGGAAGGTTTAGTCTATATCATGATAAATACAGAATATACTGTTTCTAAAACCAAATAAAAGATGATTGAAATGTTATACGATTTTGAAGAAAAAAGAGCTAAACAATCACATATTATGTTAATCTTTCTATTTTTTACGGAGTAAAATCTAAAAAACACACTCTCTCTGTCCGGATATAGTAGTCTACTTTCTAAAAAAATCTCATTTTTAAGAAAGAACTGATTCTGGATAAACGAAAACAAGTGGACAAGTAAACACAGATGTATGGAGCATATATCAAAATATAGGAAAATTAAAATTACAGTAGCATTACAAGTGAGGAGCATATATAAGGCACATACTCCATAAAAGGCTCCAGGAAAAGTGAAACTGGAAGATTCTCCTAAGTAGTCCAATAGATTATCTATCCGGATGTGTTCGTCCTCCATGTACTGCTTTGGTCCTATCTCGGCACAGCTACCTGATCGAAACACGGGTAGAAATCCTGGTTTTTCTTCTGAAGTGCATTCTATCTCCTTGATATCAGCCTCAAAATCCTTAGAAGAAAATGATATGTATTGAGAATATTAGCCATTTGGTTTATAATTAATGCCAGAAAAGATGAATTATTTGATACATTTGGAAGTTCATAATAACAATATTTGCAAGATTTCCCTCAAGTGTATATAGAGCAAACCGAACTTATCATCTCATATGGTTAAACTAAATCTTCTCATAAGCCACAAAAGAACTGCATGGAAAAGGACAACACTATAGAAGGATTTATATACTACAGTCCCAAAAACAAAGAGTCATGTTTGACCAAGGAAGAATTTTTTAGTTTTGGTAAGGTAGAGTTGCTATAGTCCTTAATCCTGCTTATATTCTTTTCAACTTATTTTTTGGTTTAGCTGAAGTTTTCGCATATAACTTCTTTGTCACTCTTCTTTGAAAAATTGCACGCCACATTTACTCTGATCATACGACACCCGTTTTGGGTAAATACCTTGTGAAAGAACTACATGCTCACTTATATATTACTACATCCAACTTCTACCCAAAGCTATTAGCTCACAAATAAATGAAATATTTCAATAAGAGCCCTAAAGCCTTAAGGATACAAGAAAATGGCATTCGAGGTAATCAAACAATTCCCTAAGGGTGAGGTGTCTTGGAAACAATCTCTCTACTTCCAAATAGGGGTAAGGTCTGCCTACACTCACCCCCACATCCTACTTTTTGAGGGATTCTACTCGTTTTGTTGTTGTAGTTGTGGAGGTAAACAAACAATTTAACAAGTTATATAGCAAGTAAATTCATAAATGTACGCGGAACGGACACAATGGAAGAGCAAGAGGCTCACATACCAAACCAGATGAGACTGGAAGTGTCTTAGAGCCAATAGAGCGTGGCTCAACCAGAAAACGGGGACGAGGTTTACCATTTGGTTGCTTCCATTCATCTGATTCCTCTTGAAACTCAACTTTTGCAGGGGCCACAACACTGCTCTTATTATAACTACCTTCTAATCTGGTGAATGGATGTGAACAATCAGTATCAGCTGCCATTTTCATCCCCCCCCAAACACACAAAAACCTAACTTCGCTCCCCTTCAATCCTCACCCCAACTTCAAAACATAAAAGATGGCTCAAAGATCAGATTTAAGAAGCTCTGGTACCTTCTTTCCTTATATATGAACATAGAGCCTCGATCTTTACCAACAATCTCAAAAACCCAGATCAGAAATGAGGGCTATGGGTTTGGGCTCAAGAGTGGGAGCAAGATGATGCGAAGTGGTGAGATTGAGTTGCTTAGATCGAATTCTTGGGTGATGAACAACATACTGAGCATTAAATACCTGGAACTAAGCTTCCGCTGGCGAACTGAACCAGAAACCGGGTCAGAGGAACCGGGAAGTCGGAGAGATAAAACCCGAGGGCTAAGGCGATTGAGATTGATCAGAGGACGGAGAGGAAGAAGCTGTGGGACGCAGGCTGAGGGGGACGGTCTTGGAGTTGATGATTTTGGGGGAAAGATGGAATTGAGTATGGACTCTTCTGACTCGAGTCCAAAATATGGAGTTTTTAGGGGTTGTTTGGTTGTGAATTTGGCTTCTCCATTAGATGATGGTAGTTTTTCTTTCTTTTTTTAAATTTTTTTATGATAGATGATCCACATTTTATTTTTTTAACATGTCAATTTTTGTTTTCCCTCACAAATATTTTGAATATAGAATAACATTTTTAATATGCAATATTTGGTTTTTGTACTTCTTTCCTCACATATCTTTCTTTATGTTGCGCAAAACGAAAAAAATCTTAAATTTTTTAAATTTATTTTATTTAAATATTGGTATAGAAATAAAAAATAAAACTCGTATATTTAAAAATTATATCAAACTTTTAATAAAATTAGTGACAAGAATATTCTATTTTATCATATTTATCATTAAAAATTACAAATAAATAAAAGTTTTTGTAAAATTGGAATAGTGCTTTGTAAAGAAAGATATGAGACGAAGGGAGCATTTGTCTAAAAATATTCAAAAATTATTTTATCACAAATTAATCATTTCAAAGAGCTTCTTAAAATAAAGTTGAAAATTTGATACCGAATATAATAGCTTTGAAAAAAGAAGTTTGAATTTGTCATGGAGTATGAAGACTAAATATTTAAAACTATTTAAGATTCAAATAAAACATGATTTACAATGAGTTAAATAGAGAAGAAGCAAATTTCAAATTTATATTATCGAACATTAATCATAATTGAAGATAAACAATTAAAAACGAAAGTGTGTTGAACAAAGATAATTTGAAATAAAGGTTTTTGTTGAAAAGGAGTTTCTAGTATAAAATTTTATTTAGTTAATTTTCAACATTTGGAGAAGATATATTTTAAAAATCAGAAAAGTATATAGTTAGATTTTTTTCGAATTAAAAAATCTTGTGATGCATGTTATTTCTATAGTTTGATTTTTTCAACCAAACATGGCTAAGACTTAAGGGCACTTAACAAGTAAAAAGCCGATTAGCGAACCTTAAGTAGGATTTTTATTCTCTTTGGGGTTTTTACCAAAGATTACCAATGTCAAGTGCCCACCATTAACGAGTGGTTGGTTAGCTCTTTCTCAGTTTATTACTCCCTATTACTGTGCTGTGCGATAAGTAAAGAAAGGGAAGATTCAATCAGACATGATGAGAGGACACATCTGGAGGGACCATTTTGTCCAGCATCTTTCACCATCTCTGTATTGCTTCATCAGCATGAGGGGCAATTTTCTTCGGACCATCTTTTATTGTCATCTCTATTCTCCTCCTCCTCCTCCTGATGTTTCCATTGACTCACTTGGCAAACCCATATCTTTAATCTCGATTCTTGATTGATTCTCCTGAAATAAAAATGCTTACTTTGCTCACTGGTACTCTTCTTCATTCTTCACTCTCTTTATTTGTCAATCTGTTATTGTTCCCAGAGTTTGCTGTCTTAAGAGGAATCTGATTCTTTTTCGTTTATCTGGTTATGGTGTTCTGGTTTCTTGAGTTTGAATTATTCTTTCTGTACTGTCCAAGCATTTACTGTAAAAGAATATTAATTTTTTCCCTCTGGTTTCTTTTGCTTTGAATTTCCCAGATATATATATGTGGGCAGTCCACGGTCAGCATGAGTCAACTGTTGGAGAAGGGTGTGATTGATTTGCTGAGATTTAGGAGAGTTGAGAAGGAATGAAAGGAATTTGGGTTGTTTTAACATGGGTTGTGATCTTTGTTGGGGCTTGTCCAAAGGGTATGAGCAAGAATGGAACTTCTTCTTCTTCAAGGCCTGCAGTGGTTAATATTGGGGCTATTTTTGTCTCTGACTCAACAATTGGAAGGTCTGCCAAGATTGCAATTGAGGCGGCTGTCAAAGACGTAAATGCCGACCCCACCGTCCTCCACGGGACCCAGCTGGCAGTGAAGTTCCAAAGCTCCAACTGCAGTGGGTTTCTTGGCATGGTTTCAGGTAGTTGGTCATCCAGTGTTTTCTTCCATTCCCAGTTTTGCATTGTCAGGTTTCTCAATTCTTGATCATTCAAACATGTTATGTTATTTATGTGTTAACATTAGTTTTAAGCATTGTTGTGAAATTCTAAGCACAGTCCTTCCTGGATAAGTGGATAGGCATTAGGTTGTTTTTGGGTGTGTAGGCACAGTCCTGATTAATCCTTGTATAGGTCCTAGGTTGTTCTTGGTTATCTAGGTTTTGATATTGTTAGAGTTTCTTGGTCCCAGATGCTAGATAGATTAGGGTTAGGCTGTTCTCACGAGTTCTTTTTCTTGGGTTAGATTCAAAACTTATTTTTAGCAAATATCCTTTGCAAAACAAGGCTATAATGGCTAAGTTTTGTACATGTTTGTGTGTTTGCATTTGAGATGGTTGAACTATGCAGGTTATGTTGAAGCTTTTGGATATTATAAAAGTTGTGTCTTTGCTAATCTTTCATCTATTCTGCTAAAATGTTGTCTTTTTTCTTGCAGCTTTGAAATTCATGGAGACGGATGTCGTTGCAATCATAGGTCCACAATCTTCGGTCGTTGCCCACACCATCTCGCACATTGCTAATGAACTCCAAGTCCCTCTATTGTCCTTTGCCGCTACGGACCCCACGCTTGCTTCTCTCCAGTTTCCTTACTTCATCAGGACGACACAGAGCGATCTCTATCAGATGAAGGCGGTTGCTGACATCATCAATCACTACGGGTGGCGGGAGGTGATTGCAGTCTTCATTGATGATGACTACGGAAGAAATGGGGTCGCCGCATTGGACGATGCGCTCTCCGCGAAGCGATGTAAGCTGACTCACAAAGCGGGAATCCCACCAAGAACTGCCACGGATCGAGCCGGGTTAATGGATATTATGGTCCAGATTGCTTTGATGGAGTCCAGGGTTATTGTTCTTCACGCATATCCGGATTCGGGGTTTGCGGTTTTCTCGGTGGCCCACTATCTCGGAATGATGAATGACGGTTATGTTTGGATATCCACAGACTGGCTTTCCGCCGTCTTCGATTCCTCTCCTCGTCCTCTCCCACCGGAGAAAATGGATGTTATGCAAGGAGTTCTTGTTTTGCGTCAACACACTGAAAATTCAGCTAAAAAGAGGGCATTCTCTTCTAGGTGGAACAATATGACCGGGGGCAATTTGGGGATAAATTCCTACGCTCTTTATGCTTATGACAGTGTTTGGTTGGTCGCACACGCGGTCGATTCGTTTCTAAACCAAGGTGGAGTTATCTCCTTCTCCAACGACTCCAATTTACAGCTTGAAGGGAGGAAGAGTAATCTTCATCTCGAAGCTTTGAGTATCTTTGACGGGGGCCCACATTTGATGAAGGACATAGTAGAGAGTGATTTTGTTGGTCTAACAGGAAGGTTCAAGTTCACTAACGACAAAACGCTCATTCTTCCTTCGTATGATATACTCAATGTGATAGGGACTGGTTTTAGAAGTATCGGTTACTGGTCAAACCATTCTGGTTTGTCAACTTCACCTCCAGAGACCCTCAACTCAAAGCCATCCAATGCTAGTTTTTCAAGGGAAGCCCAAAAGCTTTATGATGTGATTTGGCCCGGGCAATCGGGGAGGAAGCCACGTGGATGGGTTTTCCCTAACAATGGGAAGCAACTGAGGATTGGGGTGCCTGTTAGGACTAGTTTCCGCGAATTCGTGTCCCATATCCCAGGGACTAATACCTTTAAAGGCTTCTCCATAGATGTTTTTACTGCAGCGGTTACCTTGTTGCCCTATGCGGTTCCCTACCAATTTGTTCCCTTTGGGAATGGGCGTGAGAATCCAAGCTACAATGAGTTGGTGCAATGGGTGTCTGCTGGGGTAAGTTTGTTTGAAAGCTCATTGTGGTTTAACATTAGCATTGTTATATGCTTTCTGTTGAGCATTTTGAAAAGACCATCTAATGACAACATTTAGCTTTAGTGCTTTCAAAGTTAATCTCTATCCAGTCATTTCAGGTAAATAACTTTCACCAAACATGCGTTTAAATTAGTCTTGGCAATTCTTTGTGTGAATTTGTAGCGTTTCGACGGTGCTGTTGGTGACATTGCCATTGTGACGAACCGGACTAAAGTTGTGGATTTCACACAGCCATACGCCGCATCCGGACTTCTTGTTGTGGCCCCATTCAAGAAGCTGAACACGGGAGCTTGGGCTTTTTTAAGACCATTTTCTGCGCAAATGTGGGGCGTTACTGCGTTCTTCTTCATTGTCGTTGGCACAGTTGTTTGGATCTTGGAGCACCGGATTAATGACGAATTTCGCGGGCCTCCAAGAAAACAGCTTATAACCATTGTGTGGTCTGTTACGAAATTCTTTACTCTTATTATCTTTCATTCATAAAACTCGGGTCTTTGCATGAATTTTTTTTTAGAATCCTCTTATGCTTAAATAGTATTTCTATTTTCAAGTAGGGGTAAGGTCTACATACGCGCACCCTAACCCCCTGATTGGATAAAGTTTTAGGTAGGAAAGAAACTAAGGGTGCAAAATTTGGGAGGAGAAAATGAAACTATTTACCCTCTTGTTTGGATATTTTTAGGATGGAAGAAAAATAAATCTATTTTACCTCATGGTAAAAAAGAGTATATTTCTAAAAGTAGGGCCCGCCTATGTCCTGAAAAAAGAGTCCAGTTTGTAATACTGAAATCAATATTATAACGCGACTCTTTTTTTGGGACGGAGGGAGGCATCATATGTTTCCGTGTTAATGTCCACGGCCTTTTCTGATGATACCCTAAATGTCCATATGCAGGTTTAGCCTTTCCACTTTGTTCTTTGCACATAGTAAGTTTTAACTCTCTCTTTTATATTTAGCTTTTTCATGTCAAAGTTATCTTACATTTGACAAATCGAAAAGCACAAAGCAACATGCCAATATGCCATATTGATTGACCTTTTGGGATGGAACATGTCTTGAAATATATTTGTGCGTCTTACGGTTTCAAACGTTTCTGCACTCAAAAAATGCAGGAGAAAATACAGTGAGTGCCCTTGGCCGTGCGGTCCTAATCATATGGCTCTTCGTGGTGTTGATAATCAACTCAAGTTACACTGCAAGTTTGACATCCATTCTCACGGTGCAGCAGCTGTATTCTCCCATCAAGGGGATTGAAAGCTTGAAGGAAGGAGATGACCCGATAGGATACCAAACCGGTTCTTTTGCTGAGCACTATTTGGTCGAGGAAATTGGGATACCCAAGTCCCGGCTTGTGGAGATTGGATCACCTGAAGCATATGCTGCTGCACTTGAGAAGGGGCCTGCTGAAGGGGGTGTCTCTGCAGTGGTCGACGAACGCCCTTACGTGGAAAGCTTCTTGTCCAGCCAATGTAAATTCAGGATTATTGGCCAGGAGTTCACCAAAAGCGGCTGGGGTTTCGTGAGTATCTCTGTCACTAACACCATGTTTGGTTCAAGGAATCCGAAAGGGAGAAGACAAGAAAATAAGATGGAAAACAATTGTTCTTAGCGGTCAGGAAAAGTAATAAAAAGTGGAAGAATCCAAATTCCATCCATTTTGGCAAGGAAAATGAGAGAAAACCATTTTCTTTTCTTTTCCTTCCAAATTCGTTGAACAGTTGAACCAAACATAGTGTAATACTTTGTCTTTCCTCAGGATTTAACTCGATTAGTTTTCCATAATTCATCTCATATCCCCAAACAGACTGAGTGTTGTTGTTGTTGTTGTCAGGCTTTCCCGCGGGACTCACCATTAGCCGTTGACATGTCCACTGCAATTCTAACACTGTCTGAGAATGGGGATCTGCAGAGGATTCATGACAAGTGGTTAACCCGAACCGGTTGCAGTTCAGATGACACCGAGATTGACTCGGACCGGCTTCACCTCAAGAGCTTCTGGGGTCTCTTTCTCATTTCTGGCGGGGCGTGCGTCATCGCGCTCCTAATATACTTCACTCAAATCATTCTCAAGTTTCGCCGAATCGGTCGCGATGAACCGGTTGGAGATGGCTCGCAAAGTTCGCGTTCTAGAAGCCTGCAAAGGCTGATATCGCTTATTGATGAGAAATCGGACCCCACGAAGAGGGAGAAAAAGAAGAGAAAAATTGATCCCTCATTGTCCCTTGACACCAGCAATGATGGACACTCAATCCACATAAACAATGAATGAGAGGGAAGATCCTATCAAGAATATGACACTTTTAGCCCCGATAAGTTCTTCCCAAAGTGGATTTTTAGGGGATTGGAGGACTAAAAAGGCGACGTTGGAAAGAGTTGTGGCGGAAAATGGAGAGGTTAGTCATTTGAACTAAAAGTGTACATTAGTTTATGTTGTAATATAACACATACCACTCAAAGTGTTATTTTTCCCTTTTTTTCTATGTTGGGTTGGTTTGCCCTCAACAAGTCAATAAGAAAGGACTATCAGATCAGATTTTGTTTGCTGATTCTAAAGAATCAAACAGTTTATTATATTACTTCTGAAAACCACTTTCTGGTGAGCAAAAATCACCAACTTGTTCTACATAACTTGTGAGAATTGAAACCAGCTGGTAGAACCATAACTTGTTCTTGTGCTAGAAGATGAGACCATTTTGTACAGACATATATGGGATCACAATCTTTAGAGTATAGACAATGAATGGTATTGAAACAGTTTTCAATATCATGACTTCTTCAATTCATATTCTCAGTTTTTGCAGAAAAAAAAAAGCAATAGCCATTCATGGGGCAATGAGAACCCCATTCTTCTAAAACCATTGGTTTTGCACAGAATCGTAAACAAGTACTTAAGCTTCGTAGACTTTGCATTCCTCGTCGCTCGGGTTGCTCTTGCAAAAGTCATCCAAGGGGTCTTCGCTTCCTGCTGCTGGTATGCCCGGCCACTTCCTTGCCACTAGATGTGCCAAGTCAACGACCCGTTGACTATTTCAAAAGAAAAAAACACAAACATACTTAACACATTTTATATGTGACTTTAAGTGTGTGTGTGTGTGTGTATAAAATGCTAGGGGATGAAGAAGTATTACCTATATCCCCATTCATTGTCATACCAAGCCACAACCTTGACCATGTCATCACCCATCACCATGGTCAATGACGCATCGATGGTGGATGAAACGTCGGTGCATCTGAAGTCAGACGAGACGAGTGGGAGATCACAAACGTCCAAAATGCCCTTGAGAGGGCCTCTGGTTGCCTTTCTGAAGGCCTCGTTCACGTCCTCGGCCGTGGCTCCTTTCTTCTCGACGTTCACAACGAGATCGACGACAGAGACGTTTGGGGTTGGGACCCGCAGGGCAATGCCGTTCAGTTTGCCTTTGAGCTTTGGTAGGACAAGAGACACCGCCTTGGCCGCGCCCGTGCTGGTCGGGACTATGTTTAGCGCTGCTGCTCTGGCTCTTCTCATGTCCCTGTGGGAAGCATCTAGAAGCCTCTGTGCACAGAACAAAACCAGTTCAGTTCTTTATGGGTCCCAAATTTTCATGGGATTTTGCTAAGTTTGTTGTAGTAATGTAGGAAAATTAAAAGATTAGTTGAAACTTTTCTTTTTTCTTGATTGAATTATGTGTATTAAGCACACTGTTATTGTTATGACCTGATCTCCAGTGTAAGAATGGGTGGTTGTCATTGTTCCCTTAACAATACCTGCACAAAAAGAATGGAAATTGGTCTGGAAGGCAAAACAATAGAGTGAAAAACCAAGAAAACATCTATCCTTTCCCATGTTTTCCCCTGTCCCTATCATTTATTCTGACCCAAACACGCCCTTTACAAAAGTTAATATTCCTAAACAAAATTGTGGTACATACCAAACTCCTCATCCAAGACCTTAACAAAAGGAGCCAAGCAGTTTGTAGTGCAGGAAGCATTGCTGCAATGGTGACAAAAAAGAAGAAGAGAAAGAGTTAAAGTTCTGTTTGGCGTTTCCATTTCAGTTGTTTGCTGGATAAATTGTTAACTAGTTGCATAAAAAGACTTGCCTTATGATGTTGGAGACATCATGGAAGTAGTCTTGTTCATTAACACCAACAACATAGGTTGGGATGTCAGCTCCTTTAGCTGGTGCAGTGATTATGACTTTCTTGGCCCCTGCTTGTATGTGCTTTCCTGCCCCTGGTCCATCCACAAACACGCCAGTCCCCTGTACGCCAAACACTTTCCCAAAACTTCAAAAAAAAAAACAAAAAAAAAAAACTTTCGGTCGAGAGAAAACCAAACAGACCTCAATGACAATGTCAATGCCAAGATCAGCCCAGGGGAGATTGAGAGGGTCCCTGTTAGAGACCACCTTGATGTGCTTCCCATCAACCGATATGGTCTCATTGTCAACTACTTGTACGTCCGCTTTGAACGTTCCCAACATGGTGTCGTATTTCAGCAAGTGAGCCGCCTGTATCCACCCATATATCCAAATAATGTCGCTTTTGGTTAGTCTACAACAATAACATCAGGTATCATTATTGGGAAATGGCAAAAAAAGTGGCAACATTTTTACTCACATTTTTGACACCAGCACTGTCATTGACAACAACAACATCCAGTGGGGAGTCCTTCCTGCCATGCCAGCACCTGAGGAAGTTCCTGCCGATGCGTCCGAAGCCGTTGATGGCAACCTGTAATTTGGGAGCAGTTTCTTCCCTAATGGCATTTGGCTCTGCAATCTAATTCCACAGATTGTAATTTTACTACTCCCATCAAAAACCAACAACACATTACAACCAAAGCTTAGAGTCCAACTTAGCTTATCTAATCAGATTAATGAGGTTTTTATAAACCAAGACAGTAAAATCTGCTCAACATTCTTAAAGATGTTGGGGATCATAATTGTACATAATTTTTTTGTTGTTTTAAAGATAATCACTATCCAGTCACCTAAAAAAATATTCTAAAATCTTGATGGCTATGGTTCTTTTGACACCCTAAACTTCATCTTTTTGCAGTTTAAAGGATCATCACCATCCATAATCATCTAAAAAGAAAGATCTTTTTTTCAAATCTTGATTTTGAAAAGAATCTGCTAAATATAGTTCAGGTAAGTGAAAGATTCAGCAAAATAGGAAACATCTTAAAGGATAAAGTAAGAAGATTTACTGTGGGAGTGAGCTGAGAAGCCACACAGAAGGAAGAAGAAGCTTCCCTTTTGGAATAGGTCACGCATCCATTATATTTCAGCCCAGAAAACTCAGCCACCTCCAATCTCTGCAAAACCCACCATTTTTTTCAAAAAAAAAAAAGTAAACTTTTGAAGTTATATTACATCAGAGAGAGAGAGAGAGAGAGAGAGAGAGGTGATCACCTTGGAGAAGGATTGAGTGTGGTGGGACTTTGTTGTTGTGATGGTGGTGGTGGGGATTCTTGAATAAGCAAGAGCTGCATGAGAAGCCATGGCTGCAGCAGCTTAAACAACTAAAGAGTGGAACAGAGCTCTATTTACTGTGATGATGATGAAGGTTCTGTGTTTGTGCTCCCAGTTGTGATTTGTGAATAAAACTGACTGGTTTTTGAAGACATAGTGTGGTGTGTGTGTGGTGAAGATGATGTGTAGATTATCCACAATTCCACATAGAGAGAGAGAGAGAGAGTGAGAGAGGATAAGATAATTTGTTGTTTTTTTTCTTTCAGAATCTGAGCCACAGATTGTTTGATTGGCTGACTTTTTTTTCTGTTTCATCACCCACTGTTTTAGCAGTAGTACACAGCAGCAACTTATGTTACAGTCAGCAGATTCTGAGTGGATAAAGTGCACCCAAATCATATCAACAACCATCCATTGTAATCCCATTATGGGAATCTCATCCTAAAGCTCTTATCTCAATTAATTCATATGAAGCGGTGGAAGTTCAATGTGTTTTTGTGTTTAGTTCATCATCTGCCCGAGAGAACAACGTTGTCAATGACGACTCTTTTAGCTCTATTAGTAATGGACGGAATGCGGAGGGATCATATGAAATGTTTGGGGAGATGGTTAAATGGCATACATTTAAAAAATGACTAAATATAAGTTTATAATTTTATATTTAGGCTAATAAAATGATTTTTTAAAATTTGTGCTCCCAACAAAAATTAATGAGACCCCAACTATTTAGGGTAATTTTAAACTTTTTGTTTGTTTTTTTAGCAGTGTACTTTATTACATACGAGTATGATTAATTGTTTATAAAATAAAATTTTACATTGTTTATTGAAAAGAATTTCACATTCAATAAATGTTTAAAATAAAATTTATTACTCCGGGTGTTTTTTATCATTTAATATTGCCTATTTAAAAAAATAGGAAAGTTACTGATGGACCACGAAAAATGGTGACCCCATCTGACTAAATTTTGACTAGATTTCTAGATCCGTCACTGATTGAATAAACAAGTATTAACAATGTACAAAAGAATGTGAGTTGACATTTTTATTAAAATAAAATAAATATGAAGCACATTCTTTTTTTAAGTGAGACCCAAAAAAAGACTCTTGGTTAACATATTGACATTTGAAAACTAACTTCAATCAACCATCGTAAATCGAGCAAAAGCTTTAATTTGTGACGAAAGTAATATCATATATATAGATTGCAAACCAAAGACCTAAAGTTTGAAGCTTTAATCTTGTGTGGGTCGAAAATATCATGCTAGCCAAATATTATTACCGACTATTCCCCATTGCACTCCCCATTTGAAAAAAAAAAAACTCTATGCATATATTCCCACATTGATCAAAAGCAACATTACAAGTTCACAAGTCTTGACAAGGCAATGGGGGGCAAAAGGGGGAATGCAATCAACAAACAATTCATGATTTTAGAAAAGATCAAATTCATCACCCCTCCCTCCCATTCAAATACTCCACAGATATAAATGCAAAAGCTAACAGCTTCTGAGAATGTGCAAATAGAAGCTCTTCTCATTGGTGAACCCCAGCTTCTTCTGGTCTGTCTCCCTGCTTCATCTGAGTGGAAAAATCATCTATAGCTGTGTTCAGCTGTTTTATCTTCTCCGCCAGTTTCTTGCGCTGCTTCTGTAGAGAAAGAAAAAAAAAAGTTTCTTTTAATAACATCAAACCGGGGAAGAAACAAGGCAGATAATTTCTTGTTGTGGCTAAGAACTAATCTGTAAACTTGGGGCGGAGAGAGTAATAAACTTCAGAATACATTTAAACGTTTGTACATTTTACGAATCTTGATTTTAAAAAAAATATATCTTGAAAACAGTTCACGGAGACTATTTTCTCCTTAATGAACCAATTTTTTCGTTCTATTGCTTTCATGTTGGTCTTACAATATCAACCAATCCCCGATCATCGAGTGAGCAAGACAATAGAAAATATAATACTCAATACCTCATTGGCCCATTGCCATCTCATGATAGAAATGGCTTTTGGTGAAGACCATTTTATAATTTTTCCCTCATTTTTGCTTCATATGAAAGGTTACCACTTTATTATTCTTTTTGCATGAAATAATTGCATTGAGGTTTTTTATAAAAATTAATCAAAACATAATGAAGGGTAAAGTTGCTACATTTGGTAGCATGAGCTTAATTTGCTTCGACTACGGGGGGCTATAAGAATTGCTTACTTCAAGTGCTTTTTCTTCATCATATATGAACTTGGGCAATTTCTTCATGAGCTCTTTCCTTTCATCTCCAGATAGTCTTCTACTTATCTGTGGGTTAAGAGGTTATCAATATGATTAAGCAAACATTTAAATCATGTCATGTGTCGATAAAAGAACTCAAATTTGAATGCTAGGTGAGATTGGAGCTGGCAAACAGGTCGGCTTTAGGTCCGAAATACATGTTCATGATCCATTATTATTGGGTTCAGGTCAACTCAACAAGTTATATTCGTTTTTTCAGAATACTTAAATTCATTATAAGCTATTATAATATTTTCTTTTGAATTTTAAACTAATTTTCAAATATATACAACAATGTTATAAATAAAATAAAATATTCAAATATGTACAAATTTTAGAAAAATAAAAGAAGATAACAATACGATATCATCAAAAACTCGTTTTAAAATATAAGTTTATACACTAAAAAGAAGTACTAAAAAAGAAAAAATTATAACATTATTTTTATCACATCATATTTCATACAAAAGTACATGATTTTGAAAAATTATTATCTCAGCATGTCGGTCAGAGATCGGGTTTGGGTTCGGTTAACAAAAACTTTGTTCAAAACCAAAAAATTTTCGGTCAGGCCAATTTTCGCAAGGTCTAGGTGTGATAAAGCTTATTTACTTGCAAGATAAACACAATAACCTGAGGTGCAAAGACACAACCAAGTGTACCAACAACTAATCCTCCCAAAATGAAGCCGCCAACAAATGCACCTGAGCTCCAACTGTCGCTCTCGCTGCATGAGCAAATTGCCCGAATTAAAGACTTTCCCATATCATTGAGGCATTGCATTATGTGGTGGTCCGTGATGTGCCCGTTGATATAAAAATATCAATTTTGTGATGTGATGCAACAGCTATCTCAGCTTGTTGCCTTCTCACAGTTCACAATTTAATGCCCCATTTAGTCCTTAGACTTCACATTCTTTTCAATCTGGTCCACTTTTTTATTTCTGATTTGGTTTTCCTCTTTTCAACAATGAAATTTGAACCTTATCTAGTCACCTTACAAATTTGGATATTCGAATACGCTTAATCCAACTGTGAGATTTGAGTCCAGAATTAGTCCTCAACATGCGAGAAAAACATTCTACCTTGGAGACAAAAATGAATGTAAACTTGTTTGAGCCTAAATTCTATAGATGAGGACCAAATTGAATGATTTTGTATTGTCAATATACTAAAACTCTTTCTATGCAAGTGAGAAAGCCCTATGATTACAAGGTTTTGAAAATTCTTCTCATCTTTCCTTCTCTTGAAATGTAAAGCTGTGCTACTATGTTTTTCTGATGAATTTGTAGTGTAAAGTATTTTAGCCATATAATTGACATTATATCTTTTTAAAAAATAATTGAAATCATAAATGTCATGAAAAATGACATCAATGCAGTCTGAAAAATCAAACGTGAACTTCTGTTAGGGACAGAGGGAGTATAACTTATCCTATTTAATGTCACTTCCACATCTGTCCCCATATTATTGAAAGTTGAAACCTCATTACAAACTGGAAGGTGTCCATCCTTCCTCATGACCTAACTCTGTGCACTTAAACAAGGTTGTAGTCCGAAATGATGCAAAACCTTTTATGCAGTCTAAGTAACAAAAATAAATAAATAAATAAATAAATACATAAATAACTACTCCGTACAAGCTTATACAAATCCAAAAGATAGTTTATGGGAGGGGGTACCTATGTCTTGCTTGAACCAAACATAACCTTCTTGAGAGAGATGAGTTTCTGGCACGTCTAGGATTCATAGACAATGTCGCGGGACACAAACTTTTATCAGCTGGCCTCAGATAAAAGCCTGACAAACATGCAACAAGAAAGTTCTAAAAGCTCACAGAGATAGCTCTCACATTGTTAACAAACGGATACATTGTAAAGATATAAATGCAGAACAGAAAAAAATAGCATTCCGTGATAGATTTGCACCAGTCAAGAAGTCAAGTAAAGACAGATTCATGAAGCAAGTTAAATACATTATAGCAATAGATCAATGGCAACTTCTCCGCCCCATTGGACCATTGCCCAAAATACACACTAACACTCATAAGATATTTGGAGGGCAGAATCAATCATAACCCAACATTTGGGTCCCGCGATGCCTCATTTCTCCACCATTATTATAATTACCTATTATTACTCCTCCTACCCTATAAATGAGGGAGGGGGTATCATGAAAAGGGATGATACCATATGAACACACAGTACACTCCATCTCTCTTCCTCTACACACACTCCTCAACTCTGTCGCTAGAGAACTCCAAACTGCATTAATGGCTTTCAAAGCAATCTCAAGCTCCTATATATATTCTCTCCAAAATATATAATAAAACATCTATTTGGCAAGGTATCACTTAAAAAGATTCATACTTTTTACCAATTTGGTTTCCACATAAAAATACTTTGTTCGTATATTTATATTCACGCACATGTATAATTCTCAGATTACATTTTGTGCTGAAAAATGGGTACCCGGTGGAATCATTTTCCATCACTCAATAAACAAAGTATCTTTTGACTTGCTTAATTTGGTGGAAATGAACGTTACCAAACACTTCTCAGAAAATGCAACAGATTCAACCGTTTAAATCAAGTAACCCTTGAGGTATGAATCTCGTATCTCTACATGATTAGAAGTCTACTACAACTATTAAGGTCACACGCACGCGTTACTCCTGTATCGTTCTATTTCTCTTTAGATTTCTATCCTCCTAATAATTTCTAAAAATTCCCACTCCCTACTTTGTTAAAGAACCAACTAAACCACAAATATTTTGTTGTATGACCAGAAAAGTTCTTATCCTCTAACACGCCCCCTAATGTGCAATTAGATTTGGTTTTTGTGCATGAACATTGACTTCTTAAAACTTGGCAACTGTGAGTTTCAAACTCGGGACATGAAGATCAACAAGGTTTCCATACCATGTTCAAGAGCCAGCTCAATAACCATTCTTCTAAATTGCATTTTCTGATCTTTTTATCACTGAGCTACATCAGCAGCTTACAGAAGCACTGGAACTAAACCACCTAAATTATCAATCTTTGAACTAAATGTAGTTTAATGATAAATTTCTCACATTCCAGTCTCGATCTGTTATCCAATGTATCAAGGATCTGATAGATTTATTCCTCTTTAACTCGCACAATCCACACAAAAAGAAAACGGGAATGGGATATTTCGTACAGTATATGAAACCCAGTTACTCGGCGTTTAGTAAATTACCAGAAGAGAAGTGCAGTGGCGTGGGTTTGGATAGGGCCGATGAGGTTGTTAAAGCAATCGCCATTTCTGACTTGCGAAGTCCAGATGTGATCCTTTTCTTCTTCTTATTTTACCCGATTCAGATTTCTGAGGTGATAGACTGATAGATCGTTTTGAAGCGTTCTTTACGAGGAAAGCCTGCTCAAGATGAAAAATACTCGAAACCATACAAAGAGTATTTAAAAACTATATGAAAAATTTACAAAATTAGGAGTGATATAACTATATTATTTTATCAAATGAGCAACGATAATACGCCAACAAAGTGAATAAAATTTGACTTTATAAGTAGTGAACAAGAATTTTATTGGTGGACGGATAGAGTATGGGAGAAACTAAAATAAATCTATTTTAACAATAAACACCAAATTTGTATGTTAGTGTTTGTGAAAACGCTTGGAAGCGTGGAGAAGAAGAACGAAAGGCAAGGAAATGATTTAATGATGAAACAGAACTTCTCAATTAAAGAAAGGAGAACCAGCAAGTATTTATACAAGAATGGATTGGGATGTAACTGATCTAAAACTGCTGTAACTACCATAACAGTCTCGTAACCAACTAACAACTATTTTAACAAACTATTCTCTACATCCCCCCTCAAGGTGGACATGGAGGACACCGCAGCAAACCCATCTTTGACACCAAATCATTGTGACTAGCTTCACCCAATGGTTTAGTAAGAACATCAGCCAATTGCAAGCGGGAGGGTACAAAAGTAGTTTGTAAGAACCCTTCTGAAATCTTATCACGAGTATAATGGCAGTCAATATTGAGATGCTTCGTTCTCTCATGGAAAACAGGATTTGAGGCTATGTGTATAGCTGCTTTGTTATCTCAAAAGAGATGAATAGGGAGTTGTGGTGGAATAGACATGTCCTTTGTAATGTAACTGATCCATTCCAATTCGGATGTAATAGCAGACATAGCTCTGTACTCAGCTTCTGCAGAGGATTTTGAAACTGTCTTCTGCTTCTTTGTCTTCCAGGAAATCAAGGATGGTCCTAAGAAGACACAGTACCCAGTCAAGGATTTGGAACTCATTTTGCATGCTGCCCAGTCAGCATCACAAAACCCTCTGATGCGTAGATCAGATTTTGAAGGATAGAACAGGCCCATGTTGTAAGTGCTGCGCAAATAAGAGAGAACATGGTATGCTGCCTTCATGTGTTCATCTGTGGGTATCTGCATGAACTGAGATAAGTGTTGGACTGAGTAAGAAATGTCTGGGCGAGTTAATCCCGATATAACAGTCTCCCAATTATCCTTCGATATTGTTCAGGCTTGGCAAGGGGTGAGCCAGAATCCTGAGAAAGCTTCAGAGATCTTGGCAAAGGATAGGGAGCACTAGCGTTGGCAGGAACACCAGCATCAGTAAGTAAATCAAGGATATACTTCCTTTGATTTAAGAAACTTCCCACTGTGGACCTGGAAATCTCCATTCCCAGAAAGTACCTAGCCAGCCCCAAGTCTTTGATAGTGAACTTACTGTGCAGATGACCTTTGACCTCTTTGATTTGATCTTCATCCTCTCCTGCTAGTAAGACATGATCCACATACACTAGAAGTGCTAGGAACTTTCCATGTGATCGTCTAGTGAAGAGGGAATGGTCATGTTTGGATTTGACAAAACCCAAAGATGAGAGAAAATGGGATAACTCTTCATTCCACTGTCTTGAAGCTTGCTTGAGACCATATAGGGACTTCTTCAATCTACAAAACTCTCCGGGCTTGGCCTTAGTATAACCTGGTGGAGGAACCATGTATACTTCTTCATTAATGAATCCATGAAGAAAAGCGTTGTTTATGTCCAATTGGTGTAGAGGCCAAGCTTGGGCAGTGGCTAAAGCAATCAAGAGTCTGATTGTGGTGGGTTTAGCCACTGGTGAAAAAGTGTCTTTGTAATCTTTGCCTGGAATTTGGTCATATCCTCTAACCACCAACCGAGCCTTGTACCTTTCAATTTCACCATTAGGCAGGTATTTAATTTTGTATATCCATTTTGGAGTGAGTGGTTTCATTCCAGGTGGTAATTGTGTCAACTCCCATGTGTGATTTTCTTCTAGAGCAGTCAGTTCCTTTTGCATAGCCATTATCCACTCAGGCTTGTCATTCGCTTGTGAGTAATAATAAGGTTCTGGGGTATTCACAACCTTTTCTAAAGAGACAAGAAAAGCTGTTGAGTGGTAATTCAAGTCTGCAGACACCAATCCATGTGAGGCAGCAAACATGCTAAAGGTTTGGGAAGAGCAAAGTGATGTCACCTTCTTCACTGCAGGTTGGACATAGTCTTTCATCCAAACAGGAGGTGCACTAATTCTGGATGACCTTCTGACCTGCTAGGAAACAGCATCATCATTAATGATGGTTGTTGGCATAGTATTGGGATGCACTTCTTCTGAGTGAGTTGGCTGAGGAACTTGAGCATTCTCAGAATGTATGCTCAGATTATCTGTACACACAGGATTTTGTGTATCTTCTTCAACTTCTGGTACTGGCAGGCAGCTAGAAGTGTCCTTGGGATCAGAATGGATCTGTTGGAAAGGGAAAATGTGTTCTTGAAATATAACATCCCTGCTGTGAAACACTTCCTTCTTCTCCAGATCATACAATCTGTACCCCTTTTGACCAAAAGGGTATCCCAGTAAAACACTTTTGATCCCCTTATTATCAAACTTATCCTTTCTGTGAAGGTTTGCTGCAAAACATTGACAACCCACTACTCTCAGCTCATTATATGTAGGCTTCTTATTGTATAGTAACTCAAAGGGGGTCTTCCAGTTCAATCTTTCCACTGGAAGCTTATTGATGATGTGTGTTGCTGCCAGGACACATTCCCCAGAACACTTTAGGGAAATGAGCATTTATCCTGACTGCTCTTGCTGTATCTAAAAGATGTCTGTGTTTCCTTTCCACAACTCCGTTTTGTTGTGGAGTTTTGACCATGGATCTCTGATGAATAATGCCTTTCCTTCCAAAAACTTCAGCGCAAGTGGAATTCAAAAATTCTGTCCCATTATCAGATCTAACACACTGAACTTTCTTCTGAAACTGTGTTTCTATCATCTCCAAAAAATTAGACACAACAATTTTAACTTGCTCCTTATTATGCAGCAACTGTGTCCAAGTTCCCCTAGTATAATCATCTACTATTGTGAGGAATAATCTTGCCCCAGTAATATTTGGCCTTTTATAAGGACCCCACAAGTCAATATGAATGAGCTGAAAAGGAATAGTAGTGACTGAAGTACTACGAGGAAAAGAAAGTCTATTGAACTTTGTAAGCATGCAAACATCACAATGAAACTTGTGTTGATCATCAACACTACAACCAGATATATGTTTCATTTTAGACATAGATGTATGTCCTAATCTAGCATGTAGCAATTCAAGAGTGCAGGTCTTGGCAGTCATTCCATGCTTTTTGAATTCAGTATTGTCCTTGTGTTCTATCCTCATCCTGTACAAGCCATGACTTCTGGGTGCAGTTGCCATGATTTGCTTAGTTGAAGGGTCCTGAAATACACATTCATCAGCTAGAAACACTGCATTGACCCCTTGAGTATCAACCACTTTGCTTACAGATATTAAGCTGAATTGAAAGTCAGGAACATAAAGAACATCCATCAGAATCAGACTACTAGACAAAACCACCTTTCCTGCTTTGTTTACAGCCTTGTGATTACCATCAGGCAGAGTAACTGTTATAGGTTTAGGCAATTCGTAAACATCAAACAAGATATCTTCAAAAGGAGTCATGTGATCTGAAGCTCCAGTATCCACAATCCAATCAACTATGTTCCTCCCAACACAACAAATTTCAGCACTATGTGAATCCAACACAGTAGAGGCTATGGTACAAAACTTACTTGCAAGATGAGCATATGCATTCAGAGTAGCATTCTCTGCAGAAGTAGAAGCTCTATCAGACATCATCCTCATCATTTCTTGAGCCACATGTTGGATAAACATAGGATTATTTTGAACAATATGTCCTTCTCCCTTCTGACTGCCCATGTCTTCTAGAGGTGTGTCATACTGCATTTCTTGAGTTTGTGTTGTGGTGTGCTGCAAACTTGGTGCCTCCATTCGAATTTTGTCCCTTCTTACCTTTTGGACCTTTAAACCACTCAGGATATCCAATCAATTTGAAGCATTGATCCTTGAAATGTCCAGGTTCCTTACAGTATTCACACATCTTTCTGTTCTTCCTTGGATCTGTCTTATTGTACCCATTTTGCCTTTGGCCAGGTCCTTTCCCAGCATACAAAGCCATATTGTGAGAATCAATGTTATCAGTCCCAGCATATGCTGCTAATTCAGAACCAAGTGTCTGAATTCCACTGATGTTCCTTTGCCGTTCAATTTGTTGAACTAGGCTACATGCGTTACTGGCTGTTGGTAAGGGTTCAATGAGCATTATCTGGCCTCTGATGGTGTCAAAACCTTCATTGAGGCCCATCAGAAACTTGACCAGTCTTCGTTTCTGTTCAGCCTCTGCCAATTTTTTCTTGGCGTCACATGTGCATCCATTGCATTCACAGACTGCTGGATCAGTTACATTAGCCAACTCGTCCCAAAGCTTCTTGAGTTTGGTGAAATACGCACCAACAAAATCATTATTCTGTCTTATATCTGCGATCTTCTTCTCGATTTGATAAATCAGAGGTCCATTGCTTTCACCGAATCTTTCTTCCAGCTCATTCCATAGTTCTTCAGATGATGTCGCATATAGAAAAGCTTCTGCTAGATCTGATTGTATTGAATTCAGAATCCAGCTGAAGACCATGTTGTCACAGCGCTCCCACTGCGCATAGCTTGGATCATCTGGATCTGGTTTTCTGGATTTTCCATTGATGAATCCTATCTTCATCTTGGAGATCAAGGCTATCTTGATCGATCGGCTCCATGGAATGAAATTCATTCCTGTCAGCTTCGTCGTAGTGAGAACCATCCCTGGATGGTCAGAATTGTGCAGAAACAGGGGATCGTGCCTGTAAGCCGGTTGCTCTTCATTGTTCGCCATTGTTGCAGCTCACCTGTTCGTCAAAATTATCACAGGTTGTTGCTCTGATACCATGAAAACGCTTGGAAGCGTGGAGAAGAACGAAAGGCAAGGAAATGATTTAATGATGAAACAGAACTTCTCAATTAAAGAAAGGAGAACCAGCAAGTATTTATACAAGAATGGATTGAGATGTAACTGATCTAAAACTGCTGTAACTACCATAACAGTCTCGTAACCAACTAACAACTATTTTAACAAACTATTCTCTACAGTTTGTCTGTTTATAAACTGGTCAAAACAGATTATAAGTTGTTTTTAGTTTATAAGTCAATCGATGATGTATTTCTTTGTGTTTATAAGGCTATTTATAAGTCAAAAAATAAGTAGGCTTTATTTATTTATTTTTTTACCTAGTTTTCATTTTTTTATTTTGACCAGATTTTTTACAAAACTCACCTGTTATGAACATCCCCAAATGACGGAGTATCACTTAAGTATTTTTATCTACACAAAATAATACTTCGTATTTATCTTATAAGCAGGTTATAAGGTAAAAACAATTATCAACTACTTTGTATAAGTCAATAAGCATCATCATAAAGAAATACTCCGTACATCATATGTTTTGTGATAATTTCAATGTTTAAATTTGCGAAAAACTACTTTAATTAATCGAATTATGCAACAATAATACTTAGTTTTAACATTTTGAAATTTAATATGCATCATAAAACAAATATTACAAAATGTTAGTGTTAAGATGATTAAAGTTACTATGTACGGAGTAGGTGTTTCTTTGTGTTTATAAGATGATTAAAATTATTTTTAAGTCATTTTAACTTGTAAGTCAGCTGATAACATATTTCTATATGCGTAAAACACAACAATAACAACAACAACAACAATAATAATAATATGTGGTATATAATAATAATAATAATAATAATAATAATAATAATAATAATAATAAGACCGTAGAACGGGTCATGTGGTATATATTGCAATGGAAGATACATATTCAAGAAGTCCATAAAATAATTAGTCTTACAAAATTGGGGGAAAAAACCTTTAAAAGTTGCTGTAAATTTTGGGCTAAGGAAAAAAAATAGATTCTCTGTAAGAACCGTTAAAAAACCCGAAATAAAGTGTAATAAATTCTTTTCCTTTCGATGGACTCCTTATAGTCTTCAACGTGCAATTAAGGCAAAACATATTTTCAATTTGTTAATTATGATTTATTGACTTATTAGAGAAAGCAAAACATGTCCAACCTTGCAATTGTTGCTCATACATGATGAAATCCAAGACAAAAAAAAAACTTAAGTTTTTTGGTGTGGCTATTTAATTAACGTTAATATTTTTTATAATTTTTAATGGTGTAAATTAAATTTAAAAATATTAGAGTTAATTGTTTCTAATGATGCAATTGACGTTAATATTTTTTATAATTTTTAATGAGGTAAATTAAGTCTGAAAGTACTAGAGTTAATTGGAATAGTGAATGTAAGTGCTCATTTCACGATAATTTTAATAGAGCACTCATTTTAATATTTAGCAAAAGATTATTCAAATATTCTAATAAGAAGTAATATTACACTTTGCGCATAATGATGTGAAATTTAAGTCCTTTAATTTATTCTATTTAAATATTGACATATGAATTAAAATTAAAATTTACATATTTAAAAACTACGTTAAAAATTCAATAAAAATGAGGTCCCAAAAATATTTTATTATCAAATAATAAATCAAAACATACAAGTAAATTTTCATGAGTTTTGAATAGTGAAAAGTATTTGACGGAAGGAGTATTAAGCATTTATATCAACTTGTTTTCTTTGAAAAGACCATAAAAAATACATGATACTCGTTTTATTTCAAAATAAATACGAAGTATTACATTATTTCAGAATGAACAACATGTTGTTTGATATTGAGTATGTTTCACAACGAACAATACGTTGTTTCAAAATAAATACTACTCCGGGTATGTTAAATAGAGTTCAGAATGAGCACTACAATTGAAAATGAACATTTTCTTAATTCAAAATGAATCAAAATTAATTTTTGCTACGTGTGTCTAACTTTATGTATAACCGAGTGTACGATATACAATCTTGTGAGTAATGGCTTTCTTTCGAAATCAAGCAGAATTTCAAGAGAAAATATTTTCATACGAAGTTATTTTTGCATCATTTATCTTACCAAACAAGAAAAAAATAAAATTAAAATTTTCCATGAAAATATTTTTTTTTCAATTAATAGTCTATTTTTTGCAAAACACATTACTCTAAAGTTCCAGAGAGATTAATATTCAACTTAAATTAATCTGTTATCATATTAATCTTTAATACTATCTTTGCTTATGAATGTGTAAATGTTTGACCTTTTGTGATAAAAATAGACAAATTTTGATCAATAATTAAATAAATTTTATTTGATATTGATAAGTTTTTTTATTAGATTTATTTTATAATATATCATATTAATATGCTATTTAATTCTTATTTAATATGACCTTAAAAGTTAAAAAAAATAGGTGAATACAAAAAAGTTGAGAGAAGAATAAAAACAATGTGTTGAGCTACAGGCCACCGTGCCCGCACGTCAGCTTTGTATTCCCATTTGAAATTTATTTATGAATATCCCCGGCGTATTTTTCGCGTTTTTTAAAAATTCCCCACTTTATTTGAAAAGGGAAGAATAAGAAGAAGAAAAGAAAAAAATAAAAAAAACCTACACCGCTTTACGCCGGCCGGCCGTCACACACACCACCTAGTCGAGCGTTTCCGAGCGGCGGTTGCAGAAAAATTGCAGCAGAAGGAAAGCTAACCTGGATCGCAATCTTCTTCTACTTCTTCTTCTACTTTTCTATTTACGTTTTCCGTTCACCGATCCTTAGAAGAATTCCAGGTAGAAGTGCAGGACTGAAATTGGAAATAAAGGAGTTGTCGTGAATCGGGTGCTGGTAAACTCGGCGGGAAGTAGAACCATAGTTTGATTGAGCGCTGCGGAGATTCTGATTCGGCTTCTGCTGTGAAATGGTGTGGCCTGACTCTCTTTGACTTGGGGTTTTACCGATATGGCGCGCCGCCATGGCTGGCAACTCCCCGCTCATTCCTTACAGGTTCGTTCTATTGGAGTTCTCATCCACGGTTGGGTTCGTATGAAAACTTCTCAATGTCAACACTTTGCGTCTCTTTTGGGTTTAGGCCGCTTTTACATGTTGACATTGTGATATTGTTTATGAACCTTGTTATTATTATTATTACTAATAATAATAATCTTATTATTATTATTATCATCATCATCATTATTATTATTATTAAAGTGTTTTGGCTCACAATGGTTTTGAAGTTTTTGTGTTTTTTTCTGCAAGTACAATGTGTTCATGTTGATTTTATTGCTCACTCTCACAATTGATGCCGTTTTCAGGCGATTTCATCTCATATCATCTTTATAGGAGCACATTCTTCTAAAATGTGTTGGTTTTTGAAGATGTGGATTTCTCTTGAGATAATGTGTGAATTATAAACTATTGCTAACTTGCTAAGTAGGATATGTTTTTGTGTTAATAAGAATGGTGCAATGCTGCAATTACCAACTGGTTCATCTTCAAAGCTCCGTTTTGAGGATATCAAGCAATTCTGTTAGATCTTCATGGTCTGTTTGGATGGGGATTTCAAGGGGAGGGCTTCAGGGAGCTTAGTTTATATCTTGATAACTAAAAAAATGTTATTGAAATGCTATCTGATCCCATACAATGTCAAACTTTAAATTGCTATGAATCTCAAATATAATTCAGGAGGTAGATTAATCACTTTTAAACCGTTCATCCGAACATGTCCTTAATGTATGTCGTTTCTCACTATTACTGTGTTGACAGGTGGTTGCTATAACAGTTTACTGTCTACTATCTGTTGCATTTTATGCATTCTTTGCGGCATTCCTGGGAAAAGATATCTACGAGTATATTGCAATTGGCGTCTATTCTTTCTTGGTAAAAATACCCTGCGTGCTTATTACCTTTATTTTTCTTCTTCTTGTTTTTATAATCTTGATTAATTTATATTTCACCTTCAGAATTTGTTTTTTTAATAACATTTTTTACGTCCCACAATCAGGCACTCTGTGTACTAGTTCTGTATGTTAGATGCACAGCCATTGATCCTGCTGATCCTGGGATTCTCATTGAGCATGATGAGTTAGCAGAATTGACTGGTTAGTGGTGTTGGTGCTACTATTATTCTCTGATCAAGTGTGTATGTGTTATTGTGTTTGTTTATGCACATGGGAAGTGGAAAGATGCGGAACACTGAAGCTTAAGAGTACAGTTTTAGGATGCCTAGTTGCATGGACATTCTTCTCGGGCTCCCTTTTGAGCTAGATATCTTATTTGGCATTGTCATTCACCATTTATTGTCAGTGGGGTCTGCCCGGTATAGAAATGAACACTGATGATGATGTCCTTAAGGTCTGTTTGGAACCCGTAAAATTCTAGGGAAAGAAAATAGGAAGGAAGATAGTAAAGAAACATGAAGGAAAGAAGACATGGGCGAAAATAAATGTTAGGCACGAATTTTCTGTTCACACTTATTTCTATTTATTTATTTATTTCTATTACATAGAGACTAAGAAAAAAAATTAAAAATTATAGCTTTGTTTCCTTTTCATTTTACAAGGTTTAATTAAACATAAGAAGCCACTTCCCTTAGTATTTGCTTTACCCTTCACAATTCAACATGTGTGCGTGTATAAATTCTTACTCTGTATAATCTATAAAAAACATGTTGAAATATGAGTTGTGGCCCCATTAGCATGAATGTTTTAAGCCTTTCCCACACACTCAACCTAACCAATCTCAGTTTTCTGGCTCTGCCATTCTTTCCGTTATCCAAATATACCCTTAAGTTTTGGGTGTTACGATTCTTAGAATATACGTACAACACGTGCTGTTAAACTGCACTTTGCCAAACTACCAAACTGCTAGTTGCAAGTCCACTATCCCCACCCCCCACCTTCTGATGTCAGATCTGTTTGCTTCTGTTTAGGCGGTTCATCTGGTATTGATGATGACCCAAGCAAGGAAGGGTTGAGGAATGGAGGAAAGTACACTAGAGACAGTTCAGGCGTTTGTGCAAAGCTTGGGGGACTATTTTGTGGGTGTATTGTGAATGAAGATTGTCGCAAAGATGATGAACATTTGGAGCTACAAAATGGCGAGGATGAAGCTTTATTTTGCACACTTTGCAATGCTGAGGTACTTATGTTATATATTTTTTATGCATTGGAAATATGCACCAAAATTAAGAATAATCATTTTTGCTTGATATTAGTTTTCTAGGGTTCTGGGTGGACATAGCTATGCAAAATGAGTGGAAAATATGAAATAAAAAAATTGATTAAAATATCTTAATATTATATACTCTGGGGTATATTTATTAGTTCTTAGCCTTTTAACGTAATAAAATCAAATTTGAGTGTATTTTCAGTCCATAATATCATCTACGTGTGTTTCTTTGTAGGTTCGCAAATTCAGCAAACACTGTAGAAGTTGTGACAAATGTGTTGATGGATTTGATCATCATTGTCGTGTAAGTTCTAATTTGGAATTTGACTTGGTGCAGTTTTTAGCTTTTGAATTATAATTAACCAATTTTAGGAGATTTATTAAGAAATACTCCCTCCGTCCCGGAGTATTCGTCCAGTTTTGACTTTTGGAACTGTTCATTTAAGCACTTTGACTCATCAAATTCTCTCAATGTGCAAGCCTAAATATAGTCTTGTGTGATCTTGTTTGATTTGTCTTAACATATAGATTATTAATATATAATTTCTATAATTTTTTAATATACAAATTACAAGATAAAATGGATTAAAGAAGTGCATTGGATGGTGTGTAAAAATGAAAGTGGACAAATACTCTTGGACGGAAGTAGTATGATTTTTTGATATAAATAAATCTGCAAAAATATCCATCTAATTAGGTTCTTTCCATATGTAAAAAAGGAATAGAGAACTCTTTAACAAGTATTAATCCCATGTGAAATTTAGTGTTACTTAATTGTCTAAAGTTAGTTTGCACTATGACTCTATAATGTGTAGTTTGGTAGCTCGTAACATGTAATTGTGTAATGTAGTGTAATCAAGTATTTCCACCATCCGCCGGATTTAGTTGTCCACTTTCTGAAATATCTAAGTTTTTAAAAAATAAGTTTAAAATGTCAAATAAATCCTTCAAATGCGTTCGCCACTCATTAATTCCAACAATGTTCAAACTCTATCTTTAAGATATTTCAGACAATTCATCATAAAGTTTAATTGAATGTCAAAAGTGGACAACTAATTATAGACCAACAAAAATAAGGAAGTGGACAACTTAATTCGGACTGAGGGAGTATAATTTTAGTGTAAATTCATATTACATCATATCTTACCAAATTAGACAGCTACACCTAAAGTCACACAAACAGCATGGTGATAAAGCTTCATGTCAGATGTGTTTTTCTGTCACAACCTTCACATGAAAGAACAATGAAATCCAAAACCCTCTTCATATTGATTTTCTTTCAATTGTTTTTTTTGGTTATTGTCACATTCAATGCACTAATTGTTTGTTGTGATCACACAGTGGTTGAACAATTGCGTGGGAAGGAAAAATTATGTTTCATTTATAATCCTAATGGGAACAAGCCTTATTTGGGTACGTTTTTAATAGTGATAGTCTTCCATTTTTCATTTCATAAACTTTTAATATTTATCACGAACACTTTTCTTCCTTATGTGACAGCTTGTATTTGAATGTGGGGTGGGCATTGCTGTTCTGGTTAGATGCTTTACTCATAAAAAGGCTACAGAGAATCATATAAGAGACAGACTTGGAGATGGATTCTCCATACCTCCCTTTGCTACAGTAGTGGTATGTGGCATGTCCCAAGCTTATAATCTTGTCACTCACTAATTTGCACTCCCTTCGTTCCAAAATCATGTTTCACATTGGTATTGGCATAGATTATTATTCTTATTAAGAAAGTTGAAACTGTGTGGTTGAGATTTATGTAGAGGATAGAAAAATAATGTGATGCACCTAATTCTTTCTCTAAATTGAAAATAAAACCTTATTTTAGATTGGACCAAAAAAGAAATGTTGAATCTTTTTATGGGACATAGAGAGTATAGTGTTTGGAAAAATACAACTGATAAGATCATTTAGATTTACAAAATGACGTAAAAGGATGTGTTCAAAATGAGTTTAAGATAAAACAATAAAAGTGGAATAGTAAAGAAAAAAGTTCATCATTCAACGGACTCTTAGAGTTAAATATGTTTGAGTTTATAAATAACTTATAAAATAGTTCATGGTGTGCCAAACATTCCATTTTTTCTACGTACATGTATCTGCATGTAGGTTATATTCCATGGTTTGTATGTTTATTTTACAATATCAATATTGTATGGTGTTATAGTGTTAATAAACTCCATACAATTAGTTTGCACTATAAATTTGATGTCACCAACCCCAACTAGTTGGGATTATGGGGCTGCTGCTGCCGATGTTGATGAATCATGTAGTGAAACGTCACACTAGCAAATATCTCAGTTCAGTGGCGTCTAATGAAATTTTCCATGCACGTGGAAAGAATCTATGATGGTGACACATTTTATCCCATTATTTCTTCTTATGAAAGTTGCACAAGAAAGGCATCCAACATAAAACATTGCCGCTATGATTTATTAGTTCATAGAACTTCTTATACATATGATTTACACAGTAGTATTCTACTTTTATTTGGGGAATTTGGATCTAATAAATACATATCCATTGTTTGTCCACTCGTTTTACTGGCTTGCATTTTCAGGGATTCTGTACGGCAGTTTCATTTATTGCAATTGTGCCGCTAGCTGAACTGCTCTTTTTCCACATTATTCTAATCCGTAAGGCAAGTTTTTTTTCAGTGTCACATTTTGTTGCGGGTCCCATGGAACATTCTACATACCACCAATCCAAGAATCAGTCTTTATTTATTTATTTTAATCGCAGGGTATCACCACTTATGAGTATGTTGTTGCAATGCGGGCCCAAAGTGAACCTCCCGGCCCATCTGTAGATGGTGGTGATGAGCAAAGTTTGCCTTCATCACCATCAGGTTCTGCAGTGACAGCCATGAGCGGAAGAAGCTCTGTTGGGCGTGGCTTACCTCATAAAGGTGCTTGGTGCACCCCTCCGCGAATTTTCATGGATCATCAGGTATTTCCTTAGTTCTTGTTCAATCTTCCTCTCCCTCTTTCTCTGATTCAATCTCCTCTTTTTATGGTATGTTTGGGTGCCAAAAAATGCTACATAAAGGGGACAAAATGATGTTAAAAAAATGCTAGGGAATGGTAAAAAATACTGAGAAATATTATTTTCTTATGTGCAGTTTTACCCTAATAAAATCAATTTAAAATGATTTTTTCTTTGCATAATACAAACAACAACATTACCCCAGTGCCTCAACTGCTCCCGCCCATTGTGGGGGGGGGGGTCGGATGTACCCAGTGTGAGCCCTATGATGAGCGTCAAAAATTGCATTGACCAACTGCTATGTTTGCATAATATGCTTGCAAAAAAACAGTTTATGAGTGATGACGGCAATTCTACATTTTTTAATGAAAAATATAAAAAAATAAAACCAGAATTGAAACTGGACCAGAACTGTGGTCGACCCCCCCCCGTCTCGTTTGAACTGGAACCAAAACTGGCTTGTGTCCACCCCTACCCAGGGTTATGGGGTAGATGTACACTGACCTTATCCCTGCCCAAAAGTGTAATGAGGCGGAAGACCCTGTCAAGAAAACAAACCAAAACCTTTTAGAACAGTCTGAGAGTAAGAGCAATCAAAGAAAAGGAGAAGAAAGTAAAGGGAAAAAAATGCAACTGGCTTATTTGAAGAACAGAACATGGGACGTATAAATGGCTGGGCATATTCCTGGGTCATGAGACATGGTGATTTTACTTGTATGGTTTTTGAATCACGTAACAACATTGTGATTTTTTTTTCTAAAATGCTTTTCATCTGCCAATAATCAGGACGAAATCATCCCTCATCTCGAGCCAGGACGCGTGCCATCCACGGTGGATCCCGACACAGTACATTCCGAAAGGGACAAAAGGATACCCAACCGTCCGGTGAAAATCAGTGCGTGGAAACTAGCAAAGTTAGACTCCAACGAAGCAATCAGAGCGGGTGCAAAAGCCAGAGCCTCGTCCTCCGTCCTACGACCCATCGGCTCAAGGCACCATTACCCTTACGATGCCGACACCATATCTAGCGGGATGAGCGGCAAAAGCAGCCCGGCGAGCAGCCGTGGTGGATATTACGAAACTAACCCCAGGGCCGGGACGTCAAGAATGTCCCCTTCTAAGAGCTCCTACCCGCCGAGCCGCGCCAGCAGGGAAGACAATGAGTCGTACAGTCACAGTGTCAGCAACCTTAGCAGCCCACTCCCGCCTCATCTCACCCCGTCGCCTCTCGGCCTGTATTCCGCCGGCCGGGCCCACTCAGCCCAAGAGAAGAAGAACTCAGCGGCAGTTTCTGAGTCGTCACGGGGGTCGTCGGTCTTCTGGGATCAAGAGGCGGGGCGCTTTGTGGGACCCGCCGCCGCCACCACTTCCACCTCTCAACATCCCGGGGCGGAGCTGACCCTCACCGGTCAGTCCATATTTTTTGGCGGGCCTTTGTTGGCCCAGGGGACGACGAATAGACCGCAACGAACGGGAGGGGCAGGCGGTCAGCTGCCCATCTTTGTTCCTAGAGGCGATTCGCCGCAGAATCAGCCTTCGTCTCGGACCCAATGAGGCTTTGAAAAATCTTGGTCTGGTTAGCTGTTGTGTTCTCTACCCCATAATTTTTTTGGTCTCTTCAAGCAGGAGTTTAGATTTGCAGTGGTAGTTTTCCAAGAATGCCCCTACCTATTGTCTCCCCCTTTTCTTTTTTCCTTTTAGTAGGTAGCATTCAGATGAATGTCCCTATTAACTCATTATTACAGACCCTTCCTCAATTTGAATTTCTTCTTCCCATCCCATTTTTTGGCCAAATTTGTGTCTGTTTACCCTATGATATGCATAATTATATCTTTTTAGCCCCCTCCCCCCTTCGTGGAGTTTTTTTTATCATTTACTAAGATGTTCTACTCTTCAAAGATTTCATAAGAGTGGACTATATGTTGTAAAAGCAACACAAATTATGTATTGAATGAAAGGTGCAAGTATATATTTAGGGAGGTTGGACAAGTATGGTTTAAGTTTTGCAGCCACTAGGTAGTGGCACCCAGGATAATGGGAGAGGATGGAATATGAAAAATACAACCAAATTTATAACTATGATTTGTTTAGAGACCGTCAGCGTGGTTGAAGTAGTTTTGCTGGACAATGTCATGGGATGACCTGGGGCTGATATGGTGTCTTGTTCATAAATTTGACGATTTTTCCACCTAACCTCCCTACATATCCAAACCCAGCTCTCCGGTCCACCCTCTTCAATTTACCATATTCAATGTCATAATTCTGTTAATGACACTCATGATACTACCCAAAACATTAGCTCGACAAATAATGAATGAAATCTATATTAAACACACAAAACTGTTCTAGAGTCGAACCAAAACTTAATCCTTTATTGGGGAATGTTAGGGATATACTCCGTATAAAAAATGTGCCTCAATTATACATCAAGCAAACACATACTCCCTTCATTCCCTATTTGATTACAAATTGTGGTTTACGAAGTAAAATTTCTTACTTTTTGAAATCATTTTATTTATAAATTGAATATCAATAAGATATAAAAAATTGTAATTTATTTAGGAACAGAGGATATACGTCTGTGTATCCTAACAGACATAAAATATGTATATTTGTCTTTAGTGTACAATTGAGGTACACTACTGTAGCTGTAATATTTTTCCTTTTTCACTCCCTTTTAAGTTTTACCTTGGCCAGCACAAATCCCATGTCAAAAATGAGTGTGCGGTCTAGCATTGGAAGCATCGGAAAAAAAGTGAGTCATTGAATTTTTTTCATCATTCATCCTTCCCCTTTGTCTCTTGTACTTTCCGCCATTTTTAGGGTTTATAAGCACCCCTTTCTACTTCCGATTTCGGCCACCCAGTTTCTGAGGAATGGAGACATCACTCAGATGCTACGCAGGTTCCAAGTCAATCAAGCTTCACGCTAAGGAGAGATTCCTTCTCGACTCTTCTACTCATTTGAAGGTACTCTCCTCCCCTCTTTTTTCCCGTTTTGGAATGATTTTTTTCGAAAACGTTAATCTGATATGTTTATCTGTCATCATCTCGCCGAACCGTGAATCTGCGTGCGTCGGTTAGAGTTGAAGCCCGATAATTTCTGGAAATGGTCATTCTGAACATGCTTTCTGGTGTTGCTCCTGTTTATGTTTTTGAAATTAATGTTTTTTAAAATGCCTGAAATTGTTTGTGATTTTGCTTGAATGGATGCCATTATCAATAGATATTTAGATATGAATTGAACACTATTTGATGACTTTTGTCTAAACTCTAAAGATTAATAAGCTGTTTTTGGAGTCGGTCGAAAGCTGCTCTCCTAAATCCCAAAGCTTACTTGAAGTTTGAACATGAGAATACCAGATTTCTCAGCTTATCTTGGTCTTGAGATATTTTCCGTGCGTGTCTGACTGTGGGAGTACCGCATGATGATGATGATGATGTTTCAGAGTTTTCATCTCAATTTTTCTTCTTACAAGTGCCGTGACAAGGACATCCGGCATAAAACATTGCCACAATGTTTTATGCTTTTATTTATAGTGTGTATCGGGAGTATACATTTATTTTGTACTAGAGTTAATGCAACTGTGACCCAATTAATTGGGATTAAGATGATGATAATGGTGATGGTGGTGCACACTCTAGTTGCTAATTTGTTCTTGAAATTATTTGATTGACACGTTCCTTTTTTCATGGCTAGTTATCCTTTCTGATACTCCCTTTCATTTGTTTCATAATGATTGGCAGGTTCATGGAGAATTAGACACAGAGACTGGAGTTCCAAGTCACTTTAGTACAATGATAAGCCACTTCTATCAGAATGCATGCTCCCAATCTTTCCTTTTATCTCTTCTGTACTGAAGAAAGCTGTAATGGCTGCTCAAGGAAAATAAAATTAGGATTACGAAGAATTAAAATGAAAACAGCATGGCTAACACAATGCTTGCTTCTGTGTTCTTAATTTTGATGATTGGACATTTGTAGGTATCTTCTTCGCTCGGTGTAGGATTGCTGTATGACAAGAAAGATACTCTCCGGTACAGTGTACATGTGAAGAAATCATTTAGTGTTACTGCTGATCCGCGCCTTAACTTTCAAATCAAGGGGAGATGTGATGTGGATCAAGAATTTGAACAGGTCGGCATTAAAGGGAAAATACAATATTTTACTTGTTACAAAATTTACAATGCTTGATGGTATAATTGTGTTAATGTTTTTTATGCTGTTCTTGTGTATGCCATCAATTTCTGCGTAGAGGATTGATTACTTTGAATTAAACCAGTTTTAAAATGCAAGAAAAATAAATGTTTTCACTTTTTAAGGTAAACCCAAGCATAAGAAAATAACTTTCCCTAGCATTTTATTTTTTTTCTCAAGCTTTGCTAGGGATCCAAAGTCCTAATACTCCTTTAGAATATTGATATTAAAGAACCAATTCTTTTTTAATAAATATTTCCTGTCTTTTTTAATTGAACACATTGACAGAGGAAATCAAGTGGAAAAGCTGAATTCATTTGGGATATTATGAACTTCAATAAAGACCAAGATGTGCGGATCAAAATTGGATATGAAGCCTTTGAGAAGGTACAAATTCTTATCATCTTCATTTATGCTATGTTTGTTTGAGAAGATAAATATAGAGTTCTGAGAGAAAGATGGAAGAGTGTGAGAATAAAGAAATAACATAGAAAGTAAGCGAAGTTTTTCTAGTCATTAGTACGAGAGAAAAAAGAGAAAGAAAGTTGAAAGAAATATGTTATTTTTTGAAAGTACAAAAAAAGAAAAATATTTCATCAAGGTGCTAGATGAGAATGGGTGCAAATGGAACAATCTTGTGGATCGTTCTCGTTCACTTGAAAAGAATGCTCTTTCTTGCCTATTTTATCGCACAAGAAGAGAGATTGCAAAAACCTTGTGGGTCACGCCTTCATTTTTTCTCCCTCCCTATCTATTCCAAAACCAAACAAGTAGTTTTCACGCTCTCTTCCTTTATTCTGCTTTTCTATACTAGCAAATAATGGCTTGATATTGGATGGTACTTGCATAATTAGGTCTTCTTTTACACATTCCATGCTATCACATATGATTATTTTGTACTCCGTATATTCTTTCTACACCATGGCTCTATGATGATCCTTTTATAAATTAAATTGCTCATGCTTTTATTACTTATATGGTTCAATGATCCGAGGATTGGCTTAAGACTGGGGAACAACATCAGGTAGTACTCGCATATGCTCTGCTTTTCAACTTACCAAGTTACCCCTACTTAGCATCTTGGAGTAACTTTGAGACTTGGATATATAAAATGGATTTTGTCCCCATAGATCAACAATGATTTTAAATATTACTATGATACAATACAACTTTCCATGCTCTCAACACAGATGATTACGCGAAATGAAAGGCATTTTGGTATTTCACACTCCTATCCACTCATTATTCCTTCCTTATTTCTTATGTCTGATACACTAGAACGCTATGACCTTTTTTTGGAATGCCGAGCTTAGTTGTAATGCTTTTCAGTGTTCCTTAATTTGAGTTTGGAAAATTGAGTGCTACGAACATCTTGATTTTCATTGTCTTCTTCGCCTTCTTTTCATCCCGACTGTTGCGTGTGTCAGGTTCCGTATGTGCAGATCAGAGAAAACAATTGGACTGTGAATGCTGATCTTGCTGGGAGATGGAATGTGAGGTATGCGTTATGAGTAGAGATATTACTATTATTTGCCAGATAAATTGTGAGACAGACATGTACACTATGAATGCTGTCCAAACTTATATGAAGAATCACTTGTGAAAACATGACACTCTAAGGCCATTTTCATTAAGTGATAGTGATTTTTATAAGTTTATGGTTTTGTTTGGTAACCTTTATTTAAATAAGGGTGCGTTTGGCAAGGGTCATCTACCCCAAACCACTGAATTTATTTGAGGGGAGAAGCTTTTTTTTTTTGGTATATTCAGTAAGTGTATGCTCCCAACCAAACGAGGAAAGTTTGGTTTCAATGCCATTTGTTATTGCAATTCTACTATCCTCACNAAGAAAAAGACTAAATTAGGAGTAAGATATTGAAAATATATCAGAGTAGGATTTTTCATATTTTTATTCATAAAATAGGTGTTGAAATGCACTTACATTATCAATCGTGTTCATATACATTACTAAAAAATATAGTAATGTGCACATGTATAATGTCACATTACAATCACATTACTACCGGACGAAGTTTTATTTTGGAAATAAAAACATAGGACTCTAATTTAGATAATTTACTAGTTTTCTACCCCGTGCTTCGCACGGGCTCGTATAATCTCACGTGAATTATAACTATAAAATTCAAAGCTCTATTTTAAAAATAGATAAAAATGAATTGCTCAAAATTTTTATCGATGCATTTTTAAATATGATATCTTAATTTTTATCGATGCATTTAATTAAGGGAAAAATAATACAAAAGCAAGTTAGGGCCAAACCAAATCCCATCAAAGGAGAAAAAAAGCATAACAAAAGATTAATTTTTTTTAAAAAAGTACTTAGGGAAAAGACCAAACAAAAGAAAACAAAATCTTAACCAACTAATTAATAATACTACAAGCATTGCAAATTCTCAAAAGAGATCGACATTGCAACATTAGTACCAAACAAATTCAGCATCCCAAGCCAGTGTATAGCCTAACCAATTTGCTGAAACCGAAACCAAAAAAACAATGTCAAATTTCAATGCATTAAAACTCTCTAGGAAGAATAGGTAAGTAAGCAAGTATACTACAGAGTATAAAATAATCCCATAATGTGTAGCCACCAAATCCAGTA